GAAAATACTAAAACCCAGAGTGACAAAGAATCCTTTGAAAATAGCCGCAGGAAGGAAGGGAGGACTGGCGCGCAAAGCGAAATTAATAAATAATTCAAATATTGATCCGATTAAAACATGGGCAATAGTAGGAGTTGCTGGTATAGCGGCTGTATGGTTCTTTTATAAGACCGGAGAAGAGAAAACGTCACCCCCAATGCAACAACAAGTTCAATTAGAGGTTAGCCCGCATATAATGCTATAAGAAGCATGACTACTCCAGTTACAGACAGTAAAATGTTGGTAAACGCGACGTATCATTCAGCGGTGGTCACCGGCTTGGCCATTGGCTATGCCCGTATAGCTAAAATGATTACTATAGCCACACCTCCCAAGCTAGATTTTAATGGATTTGATATAGGTATGATGGTTCTGGATATTGGATTAGCAATGGCAACGAAGGATATGCTCATCAAACAAGGGCTTATCCTGGAAGACATAATGAAGTAATTAATTAAACATTTGAATATATGATATTCATATAAACCATGGCAACAATTGCGATGATGGTCGGTGGAGCTATTGTAAATGCTCTAGCTTTTTCGGGGAGTAATTTTTTATTTTCTAGTTTGAGGGAATCAAACGCTAAAGAAGTTGAAGAGGAACGTAAACGACATAACGAAGCAATGGAACAACTCCAAGCAGCCCAGTCACAATATACGAGGCAGAGAATGAAGAGATTAGATTTAATTCATGAAGAAATGCGTAAGGAAGGACATTCAATTCAAATGTTTAAGGATGTCGAATCTGCCATGCACGAATACTTCCTCGTTTATGGGAAAAAACTCGACCCAATACTGAGACCAACAATAAGTCAGTTTTATACACCGTCAGAGGAACAAAAGAACCGCGAGGTCGCATTTGTTATTATGGGATTGACTGCTCTATTGATTTTCAGCTATACAATTACGCATAAGTCAGAGTGACAGCTGTGGCTACACATAAACCCATGACCTAATTAGAGCGACAGCTAATCTATAAATAGCCTAATCAATATCTCAATAGTGTAGATGTGATTTGCATTTAGACAAATGATATGATAGATGTATAACCATGAACAATTGCATATTTACACTCATGGGTAAGACGACTCTATGTAACCGACGCTGTGTTGAAATTTACTGCGGCATACACAATTATTACATCAGGCGCGGAAACATAAACTATACGTGTTCTGTATGCGGGATAGGGGTCAAAGGTCGTTATTGTTTATGTAAGGAACACGATGCTGATAGGGTCAGGAACCAGATTATTTATGCTAGGAAGAGAGAGTACATCAATGAGAGGAATAGGTTGGGGAGAATACGTATTTAGATATATGAAAACAACCAATTAGACATTTGTCTCATTTTGCATATTCCATTCAACCACAATGGTTTTTGTCAGAGAGTTGAAGGCTATGGCAAAGCAAAGTGGCCTACGTGGATATTCTCGAATGAGAAAAGCTGAATTGATTGATTTACTCGGTTTGGAATACAACAAAACCCAGACTGTTAGGGAACTCAAAGCTCAAGCGAGAAACAGTGGGCTGAGAGGTTATTCTCGAATGAGAAGAGCTGAATTGATCAGTTTACTAGATAATAATGATGATAATAATGTTGATATTGATAATGATGTTGAGAATAAACAACAAGAATAATATTTGTACCCACATCCTCCGACGTTGGTAAATATCTAAGAGGTTGGAAGATGGATATTAATTCCAACATGGATGTTAACGATATTAAGCCCATCATATGGAGTAAAATTAACGAGGAGTTAGATGATTTGCATAGTATAAAATACCAGCTGACGATTAAAATGTTATTGAGTAAAAGTAACACAGACGATAGCACCGAATATACCGAACCATATTTCCGTAGCAATCAAGAAGTTATAACCGAAACCGATACTATAAACGCATCATTAGATACATCAATTCAGAGGATACAGGAAACTTTAGAACGCTGGACTAATAGAGGTTCGGGTTTGGGTGTGGATAAAATCGATAGTTTATATTTAGATATAGCAAATTATATGCCCTTCAAAGGTGGATCTTATATAGATTTACCCCTGTATTATAAGAAGAAAAAAGCCATAATTAACGATGACTGTTTAAGAATGATGATAAGATCTGCATTGTTCCCCGTAGACAAGCATCCGGATAGACCTTCTAGCTATCCCCAAAATGATGGACTCAACTTCGATGGTATAGACGATTATGAACACGCTCTGACGGTCTGGGATAAATTAGGTTGTAAGAATTTAGGCGATTATCACGATCTGTACTTAAAAACCGATGTACTGTAAGAGATATTTAGAAAGACATGTTTAAAACAATACGGCTTGGACCCGGCATGGTACTATTCCAGTCCCGGACTATCGTGGGATGCATTGTTGAACTAAAACTACTCACGGATTACGATATGCACTTGTTTATTGAGAAAGGATTAAGAGGTGGTGTATCGATGGCAGCTAAAAGGTATTCTAAGGCTAATAATAAATTAGTGGAAGGATACGATCCGAGTAAACCCGACACTCACATATTATATCTCGACGCCAACAATTTGTACGGATGGGCTATGAGTCAACCTTTACCCACGGGTGGTTTTGAGTGGGTCAATGATATCGAAGTGAATGATGCGAATAAAGGGTACATACTAGAAGTTGACTTGGAATATCCAAGTTCGTTACATAAAGATCATAACAGTTATCCGCTAGCTCCCGAAAGATTAATGGTTAATAAAGATTGGATGTCGGAATATCAACGCTCCTTGATGGGTAATAGTAGGTTAGCTAACGTAGAAAAACTCGTACCAAATTTGATGGATAAAACAAAATATATAGTCCACTACAGAAATCTCCAGTTGTATCTATCATTAGGTATGAAACTTAAGAAAATACACAGAGTTCTAAGGTTTGATCAAAGCCCTTGGATGGAGCCCTATATAAGGTTGAACACAGATTTAAGAAAGATAGCTACCAGCGATTTAAAAAAGAATCTGTATAAGCTCATGAATAACTCAGTATTTGGTAAAACTATGGAGAATCTAAGGAAGCGTGTTGATGTTAAATTAGTCAGATCTAATGAGGAAGAAAGACTCAGGAAACTTATAGCCAGTCCGGCTTTTAACAGAAGCAAGATATTCGATAACAACTTAGCCGCGTTGCATATGCAGAAGAGTAATAAAAAATTCAACAGACCGGTGTACGTCAGTATGAGTATTCTCGACTTGTCAAAACACTTAATGTATGACTTTTATTACAACGAACTTAAGAAGCAATACGGCGATAGATGCGAGGTGTTATATACTGACACAGATACTTTGTTGATGGAAATACAAACTGAGGATGTGTATAAAGATATGGCAGAAAAAATAGATATGTACGACACGAGCGATTACCCAAAAGATAATCCACTGCACAGCGTAGTAAATAAAAAGGTGTTAGGTAAGATGAAGGATGAATGTGCTGGGACCCCTACAGCGGAGTATGTCGGATTAAGACCTAAGGTGTATTCTATAAAGAAGTCCGATAATGGGGAGATAAGAAAAGCTAAGGGCGTTAAGAAGTATGTTGTAAAAAAGCATATCAAACACGAACAGTATAAAGAATCATTTTTCAACGGTAGAAAGTTCAAACACGAGATGAACTCCTTAAGAAGTTACGATCATAGGATATATGGATAAAGAATGAACAAGACATCATTATCCCCCTTAGATACAAAGAGATGGATTGATAATGATGGTGTAACTACCTATGCTTATGGTTATGGTGGTAATACCGTACCGTCGGGAACTATGAACTACTCTTCTCGTACAAATGCCCTACCCGGTCCATCTTGAAGATAATAAAGAATAGGCTCTCCTTCTTTCGTAAACAATCTACTAATGTTATACGTCTTAAGGGACCATATGGGATTGGTTGCGTGACGTAGTCCTCCTTCGAGTTCACCAGGCTGGTATAAATATCTTACCCTTACTCTATCCGGAAGTTTTCGTTCTTTGCCTCTCCTCGGTGCTGAAGATTCAGAAGTCATGGATTTCATTTTAATCGCATCCGATGGTTACTTCCCGATTAATCTCGTTACTTCATTATTCAGCGCTGATACAAAGCCTGATAATCGTGTCACCCATTCGGTTGATCTCAATAGTTCCGATTTCATTTCGATCCCATACTGATAGCCAAACAAACGTTCCGCTAATGTCCGGTTAAATCTTTCGACGATAGCTTGGCTGCGGTGGGCCTCTCTTTCACCACGCCTGATTTTGACATTGTACTTTGTTAACAGTTTAGTTACCGATCCTATAAATTCGCGATGGGGATCTACTTGAAATAGCTTAGGCCATTTTAGTGGTCCGCATTTATATATGCGGCTCAGTGCATTAGCTACTTCTGTTGATTCTTTCGAGGTTAATGGCTCAGCCTCTTTGTATCGACTAGCCACATCCACTACTGTTAAAGCATATTTATACGTTTTGCGTTTTACCTTATCGTGGGGAAGAAACAAGAGGTCAGCCTGATGAACTTCATTCGTTGTAAAAATATCAATTTTTTTCCTCGGTATATAACGCGGTGCTGGTAAGTATATTTGCCACATCGCTTGTTTCTTTAACCAATCCTTGGCCACATCTTTAGATACCTTAGCCGCGGTGGCTAATTTTTTTATTGCTCCTATACCTTTCCAATATCCTCGTGGGCTATAGTAAATTTTATTCATTATTAATTAATATTGATATTTCTTTTAAAACGACTTTCGTTGAATCGCATCATCATTTTTATACTAATAGAAGCAATGATTGGCCCCAGGTATTGGTGAGCTAGACCCAATTTAACTTAATCTCATGACTATCATAGAATCGCATAATCATTTTGGCATAAAAAATGCCACCTGTAGTAGCAGTATAGGTATATAAATCCGGCTCCAGTGGAAGTGGTCCAGAACCCCTATTACCTATACTACTAGGTTTGACTGTTTTCAGGAATGCATCAGGCCACAACGTATTGGACTTGGCCGCCTCTAGCGGGTGTGAAGAGACCTGTAACATATTGATTCGGTTCGACTCCCACGCCAAGGAAGATCTACATCATAAAGTGAGTCAATCAGTGTTGTGTCACTTGACAATCAGTGACACTCGAGCTGTTTCCCGACGGTCTGTAAATAATCGAGCTTTGATCAGACAATCCAGTGATTGATTTATCATCAACTATCCGCTTTGGCTAAGTACGATGACACGCAAACAGCCAAGTCAGACATCTGATCCCCCAGTAGCAGACATTAATTGGACCGTTGTCTGGTGATAGAGGGTCTGCTCAAAGAGCGTAATGTCGGGGGTTGATCTCCGGCCGGGTCATACCAAGATCAAGAGATACCGCGTCATACATGTTGTTACCCTGCCTGGCGCTCGGCATTAAGGGAATAAAACAAGGACTGGTCGGCTCGGAGTCGGTTTACAGTGCCTGATTGGGATATTCATGTTAACCTGCGGCATGGTATCTCAGTGGGCTGGCACTATATCTATGTGTAATCTTGAACACGATTTAAACCCCATTTAACCTCGCCTCGCTGGACGGGGCACGAATGCCAGTTTTACACAGCCAGCCCACTAGCATACCATGCTTCAGACACAGTATACTCCGAGCCGAGTTTTAGACCCTTAATGTCGCAGCCCATGACACGGCCGGGGATCGAACCACCGACCTCCCGCTCTCGAGGCAGACGCTCTATCATCTACACCACGGAGACTGTCCCTGTGTGGTATACTGTGTACTATGTGTGATCTTTTTGTATAACGCCGCACTCGGCAATAATCCTGATCTTTTACGTGGGCCTGTAAATTATCGAGTCTGGACCAGACAATCCAGTGATTGATATTATAAACAACGAACCACGCTTTCGGGTACGAAGGCACGCCACAGACCAAGCCACAATGCCTGACCACCCGACCACCCGACCACCCGACTCGCTGATCTAACCCGTACTCCCCACGGGCTGCAGTAATACCCAATGCTGACGTCTAGTGACGGTAATTTGTTTTGTTGTCAGACCAGCCCTCTGAACTTGGCGTGCAAAAATGGACACCTTCGAGTGGTCAAACTGCTGTTAGAGAACGATGGCGACGTCAATGTTAAGGACGAAAGAGGACTGAATTGCCTTGACCTTGCTGTGGACAATAAACACAGGTAAACTGAATGCATCCAACATGGGCGTTATCGTTAAAAAGATTAAGGACACGGGATCGAGAAGCGCTCAAAATACAACCTCACACACACACCTTTGTATTATCCATCTTGTTCAAGTAAGGTAGTTACGACGAATCACATAAATTCACGTCCTCTTTTGCATTGTGATGTAGAAACCCCTGTTGACGTCATGTGCAATGACGTCACAATGTAAATGACGCCAAATAGTATCATTGTTGACGTAATGTTAACCATCTCAGCTTCAGGATACGATTTGAACTACAGAAGATAATATCGCGACACTTCAGTGACATCATGAAGTGTTGATAATAGAGAGATTATTACATTCGTGTCAGGAGCGATGTATTTCTTCCGTCAATTCTGACATTAGTGTTGCAAAATTAGTAACACACACTCATGTAATAATCTATATTAATCCAGCATAATCCTGTTAATCTGCATCATTATGCCCCGCCTCGAAGGGAGAGGGGGATATATGAATCATGGATTTTGTCGCGCCGTCCTTCCGTAGGTCACTTTTGTTTCTGGCGCCAATAATGAAAACTGTTCAGTTTCCGACAGTTTCTTGATAAAATTTTGTGGAACAGGGCTATGGCAGCTTCTGTGGTAAGAGATTTGAGTCTTCTGTGCTTGTTGGTGTTAAAATTATGTTTATGTTTCTAGAGACGTCGCTCGCCACATCATCCGGTCCACCCAATGGAAAGATGCTCTTAAAAACAGCGTTAAAGCATCAAAGGGTAGCTGCACCTGCGAGTTGTCTTGCGCGTGTGTTAAAAAGTCCAAGAACAGAGTTGACACACCCATGCGTCGACTCATAAAAAAAATGCCAGGTATCTGATTACATCTTTTGATGCATGCAGTCGCATGATTTGCGAATCCTGACCACATAACCTACGTCGGAGTACGTCGACGAAAAAGAACATTGTACTCTTGACATCGTTGAACATAGTCAAACACCTTTATGTCGAAGTAAGGGGACTAACGTAAATACTTCGAGTTATCCGAGGTTCGACAAAACCGGAAAAAAAATAATAAAAAAGGAATGTTTGTCGTGGAGTGAGTGAGTAAGTGAGTTTGGTTTAACGCCGCTTTTAACAGTATTACAGTTATATCGCGGCGTGTCAGCTTAATGTGGGAGGAAAGCCCGGAGTGATGCAGGTCTCAGACGTTTACCACTTCGGTGAAACCCACGAGCAGGGGTATGGTGCTGACAAACCTTGAAACATAATCGGGGCGAACCGGAATTCGAACCCACAATCATAGGTTTCTGGCGTGCCCAAGGGACGCAACTCTGCACAGCGAATCGCGGCGCCCTAGACGACTTGGCCACCCTGTTTGTCGTGGAGTACCGGGATATATTAAGGAGATACAAAATGTGTTTTCAATGTAGAGCTATGTTACTTGTAGATTTAACCGCGGTAAATAGAATTTGGAACCGAACGCGCAGCACAGTATGTTTATCGCCATTCTACCATGACTACCATGAATAAAACGCGAACTCGTTGGTGTTAGCAAATATACTGAGTGAAGCAGCATTGGTTGAGTCCAGTGTTTTGAGTGGGCTGTCGATCTGAATTACGGAATCACCGACAACAGCATGTAAACAAAATATGGCGCTGTCAAACAGTTTGTGTACACCGTAATTTTTTACTCGAACATATGCCAGGCATTGAAAGCATATAAGCACGACAACTTGGTAAGCTAACATATATGAGGTAGGCATCCCTAAGAAATCTTAGCAAGCTTTGCAAAGTTTTCGTTCTACACCGCAGGTCACCATTTTGATGTCATATCGCTCGTTGTGACGCAAAAGATATGACGTCACGGTCGTATATAGAAAAACGCCAAATTCTAAGCTCTCTGTAGTCCCAAAAACTTAAAATACATTCTCTTTGTAGATTTCTATTGTGTTTTCTGTACGAAATGTATTGCCACACATCCTTTGAATATTGTTGTAACCGCAACTTTGCGTTTTGTAACCTGTATTATATATAATTATTTAAATATACCTACCGACAATGACTGAATAAAGGCACTATTCTGTGAATACTAGCTTCCGCGGTGAGGCGACCGTCAAACCAGCTGTTTCAATCAGAGGAGTTTATTGTGAATTAATAGCCTCTGATTGACCAGTCAGAATCTTGGAGCAAAATTATTATGTTAAAATTCTCATGGTTAGGATTCAGAAACAGAGGTGCACATATTCTTTGAGAGATATATAATGTTTGTCGTGGTGATCCCATGACAAATAATTATCTTATGCTTGTCTCGAGGCTCCCGAGACAGATGCGAGCACAGTGACTGTTCTGGGATTATCTCCCCCTAGTCCCGGGATTCATTGGAGGAGTTGCATGGTTAGGTTTTTGTCCTTGCTCTTATGACCGTCTAGCTATTACAACGTGCACGCTGTATAATGACGTCGTCTCTCATTATTTGTGTTTGTAGATGTTGCCTATGAGGTTCTGGACAAATGTATCGACTCCACATCGACGTCCAAGCAGCCCCTGTCTGACTATCAGTTTATTGATGATCTGTACGAGTCCTGGATTTCTACAGGTATTCCGTTTTGCCAAACAACCACCACTCTTTTAATTATCCCATTTCCAGTTTTTCTATGTAGCTACGGAAGCCAAATAAATGTCTCAGTACCATGCAAATACAATCACTCCAAAGTTGTGCGATGTTGCATTGTAACATTCAGAAAGTCTTTGTAAACTAAACTCATTTCATTATGGTGAAATGAAGAAAGAAGCCAAATATTCGGCATGGCCACCACACAATGTTCACACACACAGCACATGTGTCCATTGTCCTCTGCCAACACGATTAGACGTCACGCTTTCAACGAGCACAACTTGCATATATACATACACTGAACCTTTAAACATAATTTGGGTCTAGTTTCCCCGTGATTATTTCTTGGCTTATGTCTCAGTGATGACAAATGAATTATTTCTGATAACTGTATAAACATGGGATTTAAACAAAAATGATCTACTGTCCAAGAATCGAAATATCATGCAGGAATGAATGTCCTGTGATACAAATGTAGATTCTGGAAGATTTAATTACTTTTAAAAATGTACATGCCAAGAGATGCAGATAAACGAGCTGTAATATATGTCATTGTCAATCACAAGGAAACATCTTTTGATTATATAATGTGTATTATATTGACAAACTGAACGCTATCCCGAGGGTTGACATTCTTCACGTACTGGTTTTTGATTCAGATAATCCAAAAGACAGCGATGGCAAAATGTCCAAGGAAAAACAAAAAAAGAAAAAAAACAAAGATCTGACCCCTTATACAAAGAAAGCTCGCACCATCAAGAAGAACCACCCCCTCAAGATCATGGTAATGCCGTAGTTTTATGTTATATTGTCCTACAGCTGGTCGTACACACCACTCTTTGCACCATCACTATAAGAGTGCCAACCCTACTCATGTCCAGTAGCTGAATATGCACACAGGAGGAGGGATGTGCTGGTTTACTATGGAGTTCTTCTCTGTTACAACTCGAGGATGTTACAAAGGGAAGGAGAGGTATTATTTTCTGTCATGACATGATGTTACATAATGGAGGAGAGGTATAATTGTCTGCCATGGCAGAATGTTACATGAGACAGGAGAGGCATTTTTGTTTGTCATGACAGAATGTTACATAAGACAGGAGAGGCATTATTGTCTGTCATGGCAGAATGTTACATAAGACAGGAGAGGCATTAGTGTGTGTCATGGCAGAATGTTACATGAGACAGGAGAGGCATTATTGTCTCTCATGGCATGCTGTTACATAAGGGAGGAGAGGTATAATTGTCATGGCAGAATGTTACATGAGACAGGAGAGGTATAATTGTCTGTCATGGCATGATGTTACACAATGGAGGAGACGTGGCATTCTAATGGAAGCAGAATATTACATGAGACAGGAGAGTAATAATTGTTAGTCATGGCAGAATGTTACATGAGACAAGAGAGGCACAATTGTCTCTTATGGCAGAATGTTACATGAGGAAGGAGAGGCATTATTGTGTGTCATGACAGAATGTTACATGAGACAGGAGAGGTATAATTGTCTCTCATGGCAGAATGTTACATAAGACAGGAGAGGCATTATTGTCTGTCATGGCAGAATGTTACATGAGACAGGAGAGGCATAATTGTCTGTCATGACTGAATGTAACATGAGGCAGGAGAGGCATTATTGTCTGTCATGGCAGAATGTTACATGAGACAGGAGAGGTATAACTGTCTGTCATGGCAGAATGTAACATGAGGCAGGAGAGGCATTATTGTCTGTCATGGCAGAATGTTACATGAGACAGGAGAGGCATAATTGTCTGTCATGACTGAATGTTACATGAGACAGGAAAGGTATAATTGTCTGTCATGGCAGAATGTTACATGAGACAGGAGTGGTATAATTGTGTGTCATGGAAGAATTTTACATGAGACAGGAGAGGCATTATTTTGTGTCATTGCAGAATGTTACATGAGGCAGGAGAGGCATTATTGTCTCTCATGACAGAATGTTACATGAGACAGGAGAGGCATTATTGTCTGCCATAACATGCTGTTACATGAGACAGGAGAGGCATTATTGTCTGCCATAACATGATGTTACATGAGACAGGAGAGGCATTATTGTCTGCCATAACATGATGTTACATGAGACAGGAGAGGCATTATTGTGTGTCATGGCAGAATGTTACATGAGACAGGAGATGTGTAATTGTGTGTCATTGCAGAATGTTACATGAGACAGGAGAGGCATTATTGTCTGTCATGACAGAATGTTTCATGAGACAGGAGAGGCATTATTGTGTGTCATGGCAGAATGTTACATGAGACAGGAGATGTGTAATTGTGTGTCATTGCAGAATGTTACATGAGACAGGAGAGGCATTATTGTGTGTGATGACAGAATGTTTCATGATTCAGGAAAGGAATAATTGTCTTTCATGACAGAATGTTACATAATGGAGAAGAGGTATAATTGTCTGTCATTGCAGAATGTTACATGAGGCAGGAGAGGTATAATTGTCTGTCATGGCAGGATGTTACATAAGGGAGGAGAGGTATAACTGTCATGGCAGAATGTTACATGAGACAGGAGAGGCATTATTGTGTGTCATGACAGATTGTTAAACCAGGTAGGAAAGGATTAATTGTCTTTCATGGCAGAATGTTACATAATGGATGAGAGATATAATTGTCTGTCATAGCAGAATGTTACATGAGGCAGGAGAGGTATAATTGTCTGCCATGGCATGATGTTACATTAGGCAGGAGAGGTATAACTCTCTCTCATTTGGCAGAATGTTACGTGAGGCAGGAGAGGTATAATTGTCTGTCATGGCAGAATGTTACATGAGGCAGGAGACGTATAATTGTCTGTCATGGCAGAATGTCACATGAGACAGGAGAGGTATAATTGTTTGTCAAGGCAGAATGATACATGAGACAGGAGAGGCATTATTGTGTGTCATGGCAGAATGTTACATGAGGCAGGAGAGGTGTAATTGTCTGTCATGGCAGAATGTTACATGAGACAGGAGATGTGTAATTGTGTGAAAAGGCAGAATGTTACATGAGACAGGAGAGGCATTATTGTCTGTCATGACATGATGTTACATACTGGAGAAGAGGTATAATTGTCATGGCAGAATGTTACATGAGGCAGGAGAGGTATATTTGTCTGTCATGGCAGAATGTTAGATGAGACAGGAGAGGCATTATTTTCTGCCATGACATGATGTTACATAAGACGGGAGAGGTATAATTGTCTGTCATGGCAGAATGTTACATGAGACAGGAGAGGCATTATTGTCTCTCATGGCACAATGTTACATGAGACAGGAGAGGCATTATTGTGTGTCATGGCAAAAAGTTACATGAGGCAGGAGAGGTATAATTGTCTGTCATGGCAGAATGTTACATGAGACAGGAGATGTGTAATTTTGTGTCATTGCAGAATGTTACATGAGACAGGAGAGGCATTATTGTCTGTCATGACAGAATGTTTCATGATTCAGGAAAGGAATAATTGTCTTTCATAACAGAATGTTACATGAGACAGGAGAGGTATAATTGTCTGCCATGGCGGAATGTAACATGAGACAGGAGAGGTATAATTGTCTGTCATGGCAGAATGTTACATGAGGCAGGAGAGGTATAATTGTCTGTCATGACAGAATGTTACATGAGACAGGAGAGGCATTATTGTCTGTCATGGCAGAATGTTTCATGAGACAGGAGAGGTATAATTGTGTGAAAAGGCAGAATGTTACATGAGACAGGAGAGGCATTATTGTCTGTCATGACATGATGTTACATACTGGAGAAGAGGTATAATTGTCATGGCAGAATGTTACATGAGGCAGGAGAGGTATATTTGTCTGTCATGGCAGAATGTTAGATGAGACAGGAGAGGCATTATTTTCTGCCATGACATGATGTTACATGAGACGGGAGAGGTATAATTGTCTGTCATGGCAGAATGTTACATGAGACAGGAGAGGCATTATTGTCTCTCATGGCACAATGTTACATGAGACAGGAGAGGCATTATTGTTTGTCATGGCAGAATGTTTCATGAGACAGGAGAGGTATAATTGTGTGTCAAAGCAGAATGTTACATGAGACAGGAGAGGCATTATTGTGTGTCATGGCAGAATGTTACATGAGACAGGAGAGGTATAATTGTCTCTCATGGCAGAATGTTACATGAGACAGGAGAGGTATAATTATCTTTCATGGCAGAATGTTACATGAGACAGGAGAGGTATAACTGTCTGTAATGGCAGAATGTTACATGAGGCAGGAGAGGCATTATTGTGTGTCATGGCAGAATGTTACATGAGACAGGAGAGGTATAATTGTCTCTCATGGCAGAATGTTACATAAGACAGGAGAGGCATTATTGTCTGTCATGACAGAATGTTACATGAGACAGGAGAGGTATAGTTTTCTGTCATGGCAGAATGTTTCATGAGACAGGAGAGGTATAATTGTCTGTCATGGCAGAATGTTACATGAGACAGGAGAGGCATTATTGTTTTTCGTGGCAATATGTTACATGAGACAGGAGAGGTATAATTGTCTGTCATGGTAGAATGTTACATGAGACAGGAGAGGTATAACTGTCTGTCATGGCAGAATGTAACATGAGGCAGGAGAGGCATTATTGTGTGTCATGGCAGAATGTTACATGAGACAGGAGAGGTATAATTGTCTCTCATGGCAGAATGTTACATGAGGCAGGAGAGGCATTATTGTCTGTCATGACAGAATGTTACATGAGACAGGAGAGGTATAATTTTCAGTCATGGCAGAATGTTTCATGAGACAGGAGAGGTATAATTGTCTGTCAAGGCAGAATGTTACATGAGACATGAGAGACATTATTGTCTCTCATGGCAGAATGTTACATGAGACAGAAGAGGCATTATTGTCTGACATGACATGATGTTACATGAGACAGGAGAGGAAAATTGTCTCTCATGGCAGAATGTTACATGAGACAGGAGAGGCATTATTGTCTGTCATGACAGAATCTTACATGATACAGGAGAGGTATAACTTTCTGTCATGGCAGAATGTTACCTGAGACAGGAGAGGCATTATTGTCTTCCGTGGCAGAATGTTACATGAGACAGGAGAGGTATAATTGTCTGTCATGGCAGAATGTTACATGAGGCAGGAGAGGTATAACTGTCTGTCATGGCAGAATGTAACATGAGGCAGGAGAGGTATAATTGTCTGTCATGGCAGAATGTTACATGAGGCAGGAGAGGTATAACTGTCTGTCATGGCAGAATGTTACATGAGGCAGGAGTGGCATTATTGTGTGTCATGGCAGAATGTTACATGAGACAGGAGAGGCATTATTGTGTGTCATGACAGAATGTTTCATGAGACAGGAGAGGTATAATTGTCTGTCATGGCAGAATGTTACATGAGACAGGAGAGGTATAACAGTCTGTCGTGGCTGAATGTTACATGAGACAGGAGAGGTATAATTGTCTGTCATGGCTGAATGTTACATGAGACAGGAGAGGTATAATTGTCTGTCGTGGCTGAATGTTACATGAGACAGGAGAGGTATAATTGTCTGTCATGGCAGAATGTTACATGAGACAGGAGAGGTATAACTGTCTGTCATGGCAGAATGTAACATGAGGCAGGAGAGGCATTATTGTCTGTCATGACAGAATGTTACATGAGACAGGAGAGGTATAATTTTCAGTCATGGCAGAATGTTACATGAGACAGGAGAGGTATAATTGTCTGTCATGACAGAATGTTACATGAGACAGGAGAGGCATTATTGTCTGTCATGACAGAATGTTACATGAGACAGGAGAGGTATAATTTTCAGTCATGGCAATATGTTTCATGAGACAGGAGAGGTATAATTGTATGTCAAGGCAGAATGTTACATGAGACAGGAGAGGCATTATTGTCTCTCATGGCAGAATGTTACATGAGACAGGAGAGGCGTTATTGTCTGTCATGACAGAATGTTACATGAGACAGGAGAGGTATAATTGTTTGTCATTGCAGAATGTTACATGAGACAGGAGAGGCATTATTGTCTGTCATGACAGAATGTTACATGAGACAGGAGAGGTATAATTTTCAGTCATGGCAGAATGTTTCATGAGACAGGAGAGGTATAATTGTATGTCAAGGCAGAATGTTACATGAGACAGGAGAGGCATTATTGTCTCTCATGGCAGAATGTTACATGAGACAGAAGAGGCATTATTGTCTGTCATGACAGAATGTTACATGATACAGGAGAGGTATAACTTTCTGTCATGGCAGAATGTTTCATGAGACAGGAGAGGTATAATTGTGTGTCATGGCAGAATGTTACATGAGGCAGGAGAGGTGTAATTGTCTGTCATGGCAGAATGTTACATGAGACAGGAGATGTGTAATTGTGTGTCATTGCAGAATGTTACATGAGACAGGAGAGGCATTATTGTCTGTCATGACAGAATGTTACATGAGACAGGAGAGGCATTATTGTCTGTCATGGCAGAATGTTACATGAGAGAGGAGAGGCATTATTGTCTGTCATGGCAGAATGTTACATGAGACAGTAGAGTAATAATAGTCAGTCACGGCATGATGTTACATGAGACACGAGAGGTATCATTTTCATGGCAGAATGTTACATGAGACAGGAGAGGTATGATTGTCTATCATGGCATGATGTTACATAAGGGAGGAGAGGTATAATTGTCATGGCAGAATGTTACATGAGACAGGAGAGGCATTATTGTGTCATGGCGGGACGCTACATAATTATCTGCCACACCTGACACTGACATTGGTATGTGGGCCCCTACAAGCAGCCCTCCTGTACTCAATGTTCGCAGGTGAAATATGGCCGAGACGAGCTGCTGCAGCATCCGTTGGTGAGGAATCTGATCACGACGATGTGGTGGCAGTTCGGGTTGTACTACTACCTGGCGACGGCTCTCTTTCACACCTTCTTCCTCCTCCTTCTCTCGAGAGTCGTCCTGATGAGCAAGCCACCGCATGAATAGTAAGGCACTGTCTACTTCATTGACTAAAACTGACATAGAGTGTTTTCGCCGGTTTTGTAACCTTGACTTTCAGACATTGCGGATGAAATCTTACATGAAAGACACACATTTGCTAGTACATATATATAAGTGGTTTAATGACCATCAGTTTGGATGCCTCGCTTAAATCTTAAAAACCTCACATTGATACAACCGAAACTTACATGCGTGGAAGGATAATGTACATAATGACATCATAAATGCTACACGCACATATTTTAAAATATTTGGAGTAAGTTGTATTTTAAGTGTACAATAAATTCAAGCGCTAGTGTTTGAGTCCATCTGTTCGATCTGTCATGATTATTGTATCATCTGCTTTCACTGACATACCCACTGCCTTTCCCTTGCAGTCTTTCCTATGAGATTGAGAGTGTACGAAGCGACTCGTGTAGATCGGTAATCGACCAGACAGACCTCAGTGACTGGCTGGTTGCAGAGAAGGGCATCATGTACGCCCTGATGGTGATCGGCGTTATCTTTGAAGTAAGCTCCACGTGCAATACCAGTCGACATTGTACAAGACAATCAGCAGTGCAACTGTATCATACGCTTCGTAGCGCACTATAACACGAGACATAATGAACACACAATGCCATTTGGAAAGTGGTCAAATGTAACAAATGTTATATTTGGGATAATACTTCCTTTGTAAAGTACAGATTCTTGTACCTTTTGGTTGAGACTTCGTGTGCTGGCGATAAGGTGCCTCACTCTGTCAGTGTGGGTTCGAATCCCTGACGGGACTCAACCCAAATAGTTCAAGAATATGTACTTTACAAAGAAAGTGTTATCCCAAAATTGTTACAATAGACATAATGTTTACTATGTTCCTCTGTATTGTTTTCAATCCATTACCAATACAAAGCTACCAACAAGACAGTGCTTCGTTTAGAGTTGGTACTATGATTGTTTTAACAAACAATTGTTAGCTTATCAGTCACATCCATTAATAACGTCACTGTACCCGTGTTGGGAGTCATAGCCGAGGCATAGGAATGTCTTTCGAACGCTTCAACCCCTTGCCCCATTGTCTACAGTATTGTTAGTTCAGAATAGCTACCTTCACATTAACAGTATTGTTGTTAGTTTGACAGAGATACTTTCACATTGGCAGTATTGCTGTTAGTTTAACAGATACTTTCACACTGGCAGTATTGTTGTTAGTTTAACAGAGATACTTTCACATTGACAGTATTCTTAGTTTATCAGAGATACTTTCACATTGACAGCATTGTTGTCAGTTTAACAGAGATACTTTCACATTGACAGTATTGTTGTTAATTTAACAGATACTTTCACATTGACAGTATTGTTGTAAGTTTAACAGAGATACTTTCATATTGACAGTATTGTTATTAGTTTAACAGAGACATTTTCATATTGACAGTATTGTTGTTAGTTTAACACAGATACTTTCACATTGACAGCATTGTTGTTAGTTTAACAGAGATACTTTCGCATTTACAATGTTGATCTTAGTTTAACAGAGACACTTTCACATTGACAGTATTGTTATTAGTTTAACAGAGACATTTTCATATTGACAGTATTGTTGTTAGTTTAACACAGATACTTTCACATTGACAGCATTGTTGTCAGTTTAACAGAGATACTTTCACATTGACAGTATTGTTGTTAATTTAACAGATACTTTCACATTGACAGTATTGTTGTAAGTTTAACAGAGACACTTTTACATTGACAGTATTGTTGTTAGCTTAACAGAGATACTTTCATATTGACAGTATTGTTGTTAGTTTAACACAGATACTTTCACATTGACAGTATTGTTGTTAGTTTAACAGAGATACTTTGACAGTGACAGTATTGTTGTTAGTTGAACAGAGATATTTTCACATTGACAGTATTATTGTTCGTTCAACAGAGATACTTTCACGTTGACAGCATTGTTGTTAGTTTAACAGAGATACTTCCACATTGACAGTGTTGTGGTTACTTTCCCAGAGATACTTTCACATTGACAGCATTGTTGCTATTATACCGCCAACAAAATGTCGGGGGTAAATAGTTATACCAAGGTTCCGTCCGTCCGTCCGTCCGAAAACTTTGTCCTCGCGATTTCTCTTAAACTATTTAGTGGATTCATCTCAAACTTAGTACATATAACCCGTCATATGGAGGGGTGCAGTCAAAAGAAAAAAATTGTTTTTATTAATTTTCCATTTTTTTATAAATCTTTCAAACCCTAACCCTATCCCAGCTATTTAATTTGTAACTACTGACACACTAGGCGGGTCGGGGATATTAGTGAGCCACGCTCACTTTTGCACTTGTTTTAACAGAGATACTTTCACATTGACAGTATTGTTGTTAGTTTAACAGAGAAGCTTTCACCTTGACAGTATTCTTAGATTATCAGAGATACTTTCACATTGACAGTATTGTTGTTAGTTTAACAGAGATACTTTCCCAATGACAGTATTGTTGTTAGTTTAACAGGGATACTTTCACATTAACAGTATTGTGTTAGAGATTCATCGATTGATCATAACGGGTTGTTTTGCAACTACAGATCCTCCAGATTTACACCTCAAGATCCGCCTACTTCACCAGCCTGGAGAATTATGTTGAGTGGGTTGTCTTCATCCTTTCCTTCCTTTTCCTTCTCGATTTCAACCTTTGCTACGCATATACCGGATTCAGAGAGGTATGTGCAGCCTGTATATATATATATATATATATATATATATATATATATTTCACTTACTGTTACGCACGAAACGGTTTCAGAGAGGTATGTGTAGCCTATATCTATTTTCATTACTGCTACGCACAAAGAGGTTTCAGAGAGGTATGTGTAGCCTATATCTATTTTCATTACTGCTACGCACAAAGAAGTTTCAGAGAGGTATGTGTAGCCTATATCTATTTTCATTACTGCTACGCACAAAGAAGTTTCAGAGAGGTATGTGTAGCCTATATCTATTTTCATTACTGCTACGCACAAAGAGGTTTCAGATTGGTACGTGTAGCCTATATCTATTTTAATTACTGCTACGCACGAAACGGTTTCAGAGAGATATGTGTAGCCTATATCTATTTTCATTACTGCTACGCTTAACGAGGTTTCAGAGAGATACATGTAGCCTATATTTTTTATTTCAATTACACACCTCATGTAAACTCCCTTCATCGTTGTTCTTGTGATGTCAGAGCAGGTATTCCCCTCATTGTGTTATTGTTGAATGTTCCGGAACAGCAATGCTAATTTTGTCCTTCATTCCCACAAGAGCTCTTTCCTTCGAGATGGGTGGGAGACACACAAACCTGTACATTACACATTAATTCCAGGAATGGCAGTGGTCTCTGGGCGCTTTCGCCCTCTTCTTCTCCTGGATTGACCTGGTGCTATACCTCAAGGCGTTCACGTCCCTAGGCTTGTATGTCATCATGTTCCAGCTCGTATGTTGGACGTTTCTCAAGGTGTTTGTGGTCTTCTTCTGCCTGCTTGCAGCATTTGCGCTTGGTTTCCATACACTGTTGCAAAACCAGGTACTTACCTATTCTCTCAGACCAGGTACACATGTATAATTTCAGAAATGGGTAAACACTTTCCCATCAGAACAAAGTGAATTTCCTTAGTCATACTACTGTATAATTCCGACTATATGATAAGCATATGTTTCGGAATCACTATCAAATAGTGATGGTACTGGGCGTCCCACCTGTGACATACGCCACTTATTTTTTATTTACTCCTGATTGCAACCAGTAATCGGTAGTGCCAATATGTGTTTCTGTTCTTCTGCCCCCAACCGCCCCCCTTGCTGTGACACATTGTGTCAGTCAATGTGTAGCTGGTCTTCATACTGCATGTCATGTGAGCTCACTTCTTGCTGTGAAGTAACATCGCTTTTAGTGTAACGCCTAGTTAAGTCATTGATTGTGTGTACATAATCTATAGTACAATTTGCAGTAATCCGTTTTGACAAATGTCGATATACAGTGGGTATCGAAATATTTGTGTTTGTTACAGATTCCATTTCGGGACGTTGCCAACTCCATCCTCCGAACATCGGTAATGTTCATCGGGGAAATAGACTATAATGACATATTCAATGCTGGTGTCAACGCTACTGGCGATGAATATGGGAAGGACAACAACCTAATCTACCCGACAGCAACATCTGTCATGTTCTCCACCTTCATCCTACTGGCCTGTATAGTACTGATGAACCTCTTGGTTAGTAATACCGGTGGTAAACATCTGAGACCTTCATCACTTCGGGCTTCCCTACCACATTAAGCTGATACATCGTGATATAACTGGAATACTGTTAAAAGGGGCGTTAAACCCAATTCAATCACTCACTCACGCACTCTTGGTCAGCATCTCATTGCCCTACTCACATCAACAGTTGGTCTGGATGACATAGCCGAATATGTGTTTGTATTTTAAACTACAGCAAGAAATGACACTATCATACTTGTTTGCAGATTGAAACTACAGCAAGGAATGACACTATCATACTTGTTTACATGTTAAAACTACAGCAAGGAATGACACTATCATACTTGTTTGCAGGTTGAAACTACAGCAAGAAATGACACTATCATACTTGTTTGCCGGTTGAAACTACAGCAAGGAATGACACAATCATACTTGTTTGCAGGTTAAAACTACAGCAACAAATGACACTATCATATCTGTTTGCAGATTGAAACTACAGCAAGGAATGACACAATCATACGTGTTTGCAGATTGAATCTACAGCAAGAAATGACACTATATATCATATTTGATTGCAGGTTGAAACTACAGCAAGGAATGACACTATCATACTGGTTTGCAGGTTAAAAATACAGCAAGGAATGACACTATCATACTTGTTTGCAGATTGAAACTACAGCAAGGAATGACACTATCATTCTTGTTTGCAGATTGAAACTACAGCAAGGAATGACACTATCATACTTGTTTGCAGATTGAAACTACAGCAAGGAATGACACTATCATACTTGTTTGCAGATTGAAACTACAGCAAGGAATGACACTATCATACTTGTTTGCAGGTTAAAACCACAGCAACAAATGACACTATCATATCTGTTTGCAGATTGAAACTACAGCAAGGAATGACACTATCATACGTGTTTGCAGATTGAATCTACAGCAAGAAATGACACTATATATCATATTTGATTGCAGGTTGAAACTACAGCAAGGAATGACACTATCATACTGGTTTGAAGGTTAAAAATACAGCAAGGAATGACACTATCATACTTGTTTGCAGATTGAAACTACAGCAAGGAATGACACTATCATATTTGTTTGCAGATTGAAACTACAGCAAGGAATGGCACTATCATACTTGTTTGCAGGTTAAAACTACAGCAAGGAATGACAATATCATATTTGTTTACAGGTTAAAACTACAGCAAGGAATGACAATATCGTACTTGTTTGCGGGTTAAAACTACAGCAAGGAATGACAATATCATACTTGTTTACAGGTTAAAACTACAGCAAGAAATGACACTATCATACTTGTTTGCAGATTGAAACTACAGCAAGGAATGACACTATCATACTTGTATACAGGTTAAAACTACAGCAAGGAATGACAATATCATACTTGTTTACAGGTTAAAACTACAGCAAGGAATGACACAATCATAATTGTTTGCATGTTAAAACTACAGCAAGAAATGACACTATCATACTTGTCTGCAGGTTGAAACTACAGCAAGGAATGATAATATCATACTTGTTTACATGTTAAAACTACAGCAAGGAATGACAATATCATACCTTTTTGCAGATTGAAACTACCGCAAGGAATGACACTATCATACTTGTTTGCAGATTGAAACTACAGCAAGGAATGACACTATCATACTTGTTTGCAGGTTGGACTGGCAGTAGATGACATCAAAGGCATTACTCGAGAGGCGACATTCAAGAGGACGTCAATGCATGTGAGTAAAATAAGTTAAGTATGAGTTGTACTTCTTTGATGCTGATCTGTCGGGTAAAACAACTGCCGGAAACTCACCTAATTATAACAACTTGACACTCCTAGACAAGTTAATGTATTACATTATTAAGAAGTATGTCCTTTACAGCCATTGGTAATTGTTTTGACACATTGATATCGTATGTCAAGGGTCAAGGTCATCATCAAGGTCATTGTCGTATAAAACCTCGCGAAGAATTTACTGTATGTCCAAGAAACGTGTTAATATCGTTACTAGGTGCGTGGTACTTCCTGTTTTAAGCTACATTGCATTTGACATATTTTCATCAACAAGAAGTGAAATCAATGAACCAGAAGTGGTTATAACTGTGTTATTAGAGGAATTGAACTTTCTGAGTCTGCACTGGCCATTTCCCAAACCTGAAAAGATGTCATTAGAATAGAAGTGATGTCATTTGATTGGGAGTGATGGCATTACCAAACACTACTAGGAAGAAACGATATACCTTTCGACAACAAACCCTTTTTCGTAAATCACGAGAAATATATATTCCTCACAAACAAAGTAATCACGCAAAACATTTTGAGGAAAATATATCTTTAAGAGTAGCTGTGTTTTAGCGTTCCTGGTCCTTTTATCGTACTTTATTTTTTAAGCATTTTATTAAAGAGCATGTGTTGATATTTATTGGCAGGTTGACATGGTTTTAGATGTAGAGACAGTTCTCTATAAATCCCACCGCCAGAAGTGTTACCGTAAGCGGAGGAAATGTGTGGCCAAGGATAAAGTCAAACAGCGCGGGTTCTGGCACTGGTTGAAACATCTGCCCATCTGGTGGTGGAATCAACAGGTGGAGACAGATGAAAATGCTATTCTGGTTAGTACACCTGACTGACTATCCAATCAAATAGGGTGATCCCACAAGCAATAAGATGAACTACCTTCTCCAAAGATACACTGAGATATACTTTTGAGAATAAAAGATATTACTTATATAGAAGAAGAAATTTATACTGGCGAGAGTAAATATATATATAGTTAATGGTGGACAACGTTTCTGTATTGGTTAACTTATGAACGAATTAAAGTATTTCAATATGCTCCAGTGTTTTCTCCAACTATAGGTGCCTATGAATCTTTCTGTCAGTATGTCGAATCTCTCCTCTCAAACTGTTGACGTGTTCTACCATAGATCATATCAGTAATGCTTTGTATGGGAACTTAATGTTTGTGAGGAGAACGTTTTGTGGGTGTCACCTTGTTTATTGTGGATTTAAACAAGATTAAATTCATAAAACGCTGTTCTTAAAAGTATTTTCATAATCTCAACTCTTTACATATGCACATGACTTCAAATTCACTGACTCATGTATTCTAGAAATGTATTCCGATCTGAGGCAGCCTTTGACCCACGGAATGTTGTTTTTCAGAAATGTATCCCCGAACTCATAAAGCGTCAAGAAGAGCTGCATGAGTTGCTGTTGGGGATGAACAAGGAGCTGCTGGCTCAGAACCGCCGGATGGAGAAGTTCCTACAGGTCAAGGGGGATGCCGAGAAGGCGGAGAGCAGTCATAACGCCGAATTGGAGAAGGAGGCCAACAGCCTCACTTTGCACCACGCATAGAGACTGGGAGGGCCTGAGTGTCCTAGTTGTCTCAGGCATCGTAATTCGCTGTGTAGAGTTGCTGCCTTCAGCCGTGCCAACCTCAGCTGATCGAGGGTTCGATCCTCCACACAACTGACCCGCTGCGATATAACTGTAGAGCCGCACTTACCCATTTACTCGTTGATACTGGAATGCTCGTGCCAATGTTTGAAATCCATTTCTGGTGTCCCCCCTCCCTCCCCCGCCTTATGGATGGAGTAATGCTCGCAGTGGTGTACAACCATATTCACACCCTTACACACGTTTGCAGTTTCGTTTTCCGTGAGTGAGTGACAGCTGCATTCTAAGTGAAACTGTGGATAATCATTAAGACAAAATACAGTAGAACATGGATATAACGAACTACAAGGGAGCAGAAAAGTCAGTTCGTAATATCCGTTGTTCGTTTTACACGTTTTCGTGCGCAAACGTCCGCCATCTTGGATAAATCAAAACACAATACACGTAATTGCATCATTGACTTGTATTAGCTTACTGTGGTTTTCAACTATATTCACACCCTTACTCACGTTAGCAGTTTACCGGGAGTGAGTGATTGCTGCATCCTAAGTGAAACTGTGGATAATCATTATGACTAAGTACTTGTAAATTTTGCTTTGTTTTGATGTGAGTTAAATTGTCGATAACAATATTTTGAAGAATTAAATCGTCGATAACAATATTTTGAATAATGTTGAAAGTAGTTGTATTAACAATGCTGTCAATGAAATCGCTGTTTAATTGCCATCTTGGTCCTGCATTCTTTTAGCTGCCAATTTGATCCTGCATTCTTGTAGCCGCCATCTTGGTCCTGCATTCTTTTAGCTGCCAACTTCATCCTGCATTCTTGTAACAGCCATCCTGACCTTGCATTCTTTTAGCCGCCATCTTGGTTCTGCATTCTTTTAGCCGCCATCTTGGTCCTGCATTCTATTAGCCGCCATCTTGGTCCTGCATTCTATTAGCCGCCATCTTGGTCCTGCATTCTATGTCCTATGTTATGTATTGTTTGTCTTATCTTTAATATTGAGATATTTATGGAGGTACGATTTGATTCTTGTCCTTTCTCTGTACCATCCAGCTATATATAGTTTTCGGGCATGTATGTTTCTTCCATGCGAACTTAATGCTTGCTACAGTTACTTGTTTGTTTTGCTTATTAATACTTTATTTAACCTTTGAAGCCTAAATTTATCTCTTGAAGAGCAGAGGCTAAATAACACATAAAATGACAGGTTTCAATACTTCCTTGTCAAGTACCCCAACATGAATGATGTTAATAAACATCTTGGTCGCTCTGATCATCAGAGAGTTTTCAAAAGTAATGTCATTTCAACCAAGTTGGCGTAAAGATACAGGACCAAGATAGCGACATTCTTCTCCTGTAAGTGAACATAATAAAAATTAGACTATGCTTTAGATAAGGCTTTTTGAATATGTGACCTATGACCCTGATCACGTGGCATGTCGTCTCTAGGCCAACCTTTGTAACTAATCACACATGATATCACCACGTTACGACTGTTGATCCTGCTTCAAACATGATAACTTGAGTGTGGGATAACCTAGACTTATTGTATCTTTGTCATATAAACGAACGGTTTAATATTACCGTGATACAAACACATCTCTGACTGTTCCAACACTAGGAATGAAATGTCACTGAGTGTTGTCACTGAAGACTGGTTTCCCTGCGTGTTTTGTATTCTCAGTGCAACATAGAATCATTACAAAAGTATTTTGTACATTGCCATGGAAAATAAATACATCAAACTTAGTGATATGGCTTGAACTTGGACATCTACGTTATACAGACAGTGAACACATGCAATATAGAAGCGTGGTAGCGTCAACAACGAGGACTTGCATGCCTGTCAGTCCGCCACACACGATTTGATCATGTCCACTGAATACATTTCCTTTGTTGGACATATAGTTGAACCACGTTGTCTCAAAACTCCTGGGGACTAAAGAAATAGGTAGACTTATCCTAGGTTCGAGACATCCGACACGACCTTATCACCATCTGGCCTCGCCATCAACGGTTTCCTGAATTTAAAGTTTCACGCCGCATCGGGCTCAGGCCGTTTTACTTGGTACAAAATCTAACTTGCTCTGAATTACTTTTTTCAAAACGTTTGAATTCGACTTATCAGTAAAAGTTGTAACATAATAAACAAATTTGGTCTATAAATTGAGTTCGAAACAACCGGGAATTCGACACATCCAGTTTAAAATAGTGATAAATGTTGTGACAGTTTGTCGGGATCGGACCGTGTGTTCGACACAACAGGGGATTCGACGAATCCGAGTTCGAATGGGTTTGGCAGTTTATGCATCTGTTTCAATTACATGGGTATTTTCAATATTTAGTTTGATAGTTTCACGGACCTATATAGTTTGAAGCGAACACATCTGTTTGCCAGAGCATAACCGGCGGTAGACTTTGTCCACAGAACACATTCCTGTTTATGGTCTTTGTACGTTGTGAATTTACAATCATAGATGTATTTGTGTTTCACAAACCTGTGGATTGCAGCAATGCCACAAGGTTAATTCCCGGACGTTCACTGTCGAGGTTTTCACCAGGCAATATGTGGCCATCCACGTGTCCCCCCAGTGTGCTGAGAGCGGAAAGTCGTGGGCTCGATCGTTGACCGCGTCATACCAAGTGACGTTAAAAGAGGGTACTTGTTACTCTGCCTGATGCTCGGCATTAAGGGACTACAACAATCACTTGTCGGCTCGGAGTCAGTTTTCTGTGTCAGAGTTAGGTATTCTTAGTAAACTGTGGCATGGTATTTCAATCTGTTAGCACTATAAACTAGTCATTAGTCCGGACTAGTACAAGCAGGCAGATGCGAGCACGCACGCACGCACGCACGCACGCACGCACGCGCACGCACACACACACACACACGTGCGCGCATGCACGTCGCTATAGAAGAGCAATAATCTTGGACGCGACATTAAACCCAATTTCCCCTCACCTCTAGCCTGGTTAACTTGACATGACGATGTTGAAGAGTGTGAGTGAGTGACCAGAAACTCAAACGAGCTGAATAATAACTGAGGTCATTTCTGTTATAACAACCAAGTCAAAGTTGAAGATGCTTATTGTCCTCGCGTTTTTAATCGATTGTGCATAATTTTCCGTAATTATGACAGGACAACACTCTGGTGCAGGTCATGTAGGCCTTCTTCTCTGTGGAGATCATACAGGCCTTCTCGTCTGGTGCAGGTCATGTAGGCCTTTTCGTCTGTACAGGTCATATACGCCTTCTTGTCTGTGCAGCTCATGCAGGCCTTCTTGTCTGTGCAGGTCATATAAGCCTTCTTGTCTTTACAGGTCATATAAGCCTTCTTGTCTTTACAGGTCATATAAGCCTTCTTGTATGTACAGGTCATATAAGCCTTCTTGTCTGTGCAGGTCATGTAGGCCTTCTTGTCTTTACAGGTCATATAAGCCTTCTTGTCTTTACAGGTCATATAAGCCTTCTTGTATGTACAGGTCATATAAGCCTTCTTGTCTGTACAGGTCATGTAGGCCTTCTTGTCTGTGCAGGTCATGTAGGCCTTCTTGTCTTTACAGGTCATATAAGCCTTCTTGTCTTTACAGGTCATATAAGCCTTCTTGTATGTACAGGTCATGTAAGCCTTCTTGTATGTACAGGTCATGTAGGCCTTCTCGTCTGTGCAGGTCATGTAGGCCTTCTCGTCTGTGCAGGTCATGTAGGCCTTCTCGTCTGTGCAGGTCATGAAGGCCTTCTCGTCTGTACAGGTCATCTAGGCCTTCTCGTCTGCGCAGGTCATGTAGGCCTTCTCGTCTGTACAGGTCATGTTAGCCATCTCGTCTGTGCAGGTCATGCAGGCCTTCTTGTCTGTGCAGGTCATGTAGGCCTTCTCGTCTGTGCAGATCATGCAGGCCTTCTCGTCTGTGCAGGTCATGTAGGCCTTCCCGTCTGTGCAGGTCATGTAGGCCTTCTCGTCTGTGCAGGTCATGTAGGCCTTCTCGTCTGTGCAGGTCATGAAGGCCTTATCGTCTGTACAGGTCATGTAGGCCTTCTCGTCTGTACAGATCATGTAGGCCTTCTCGTCTGCGCAGGTCATGTAGGCCTTCTCGTCTGTACAGGTCATGTTAGCCTTTTCGTCTGTGCAGGTCATGCAGGCCTTCTCGTCTGTGCAGGTCATGTAGGCCTTCTCATCTGTGCAGGTCATGCAGGCCTTCTCGTCTGTACAGGTCATGTAGGCCTTCTCGTCTGTACAGATCATGTAGGCCTTCTCGTCTGCGCAGGTCATGTAGGCCTTCTCGTCTGTACAGGTCATGTTAGCCTTCTCGTCTGTGCAGGTCATGTAGGCCTTCTCGTCTGTGCAGGTCATGTAGGCCTTCTCGTCTGTGCAGGTCATGAAGGCCTTATCGTCTGCGCAGGTCATGTAGGCCTTCTCGTCTGTACAGGTCATGTTAGCCTTCTCGTCTGTGCAGGTCATGCAGGCCTTCTTGTCTGTGCAGGTCATGTAGGCCTTCTCATCTGTGCAGGTCATGCAGGCCTTCTCGTCTGTGCAGGTCATGTAGGCCTTCTCGTCTGTGCAGGTCATGTAGGCCTTCTCGTCTGTGCAGGTCATGTAGGCCTTCTCGTCTGTGCAGATCATGTGAAGCTTCTCGTTTGTGCAGGTCATGCAGGCCTTCTCGTCTGTGCAGACCAGGTAGGCCTTCTCGTCTGTGCAGGTCAAGTACTAGTATACCTTTGCTTCTGTGTAGGTCGTGTTTACGTTGACGCATCAACATCACTATTGGTAAAACCATGTTCTTGTTAAGAGTCATCAATTTATCCCTGCTTTATCTCAGTAGATGTGGGGCGCTGTGGTAGTGGAGTGGTTGAAGCTTTCGCTCGTCACGCCGACTGCCCGCGTTAGATTCCCTAAAAGAGTACAATGTGTAATGTTCATATCTACTGTCCCGCATTGATACAGAGGATGAAACAAATTTTACTTACAAGAGTAGTTGTAGTTTTACTTTTACAAATGTCGTCTTGAACTGCCCAAAGCATGACACATTTCATAAAGTACAGTTCCTACATATTCATGGCACGGATTTGGTTCAACATCGTTGGCGAGTATGATCTGAAGCCCCTTTCACAAAGCGACTCCTATAATGTAACCCAGACTTATGACAGTCGTTCACTTACGACTGGTTTGTAGAACGGGGCGCTGCTTTATACGCGGGTACATAACGTCACAATTAAACAAAGTAAACGAAATACCACCAAAACAGTGTTCGGAAAACCCGTGAGAGAATCCTCGTGTTTGATGTCTAAAGCCGAGTGTGGCAGGTCGTCAGTCGCTGCCCCGCCAGGCATGGTGCCTGTGTTTGATACGTGTGCAACAACAACAACAACAACAACAACAACAAAAACCGTCTCGCCATGTATCATATATTGATAACTTCAAATTCAAATGTATCTTGTTTTCGAGAGTTCGGCAAATAGCATATCACATGTCAATATTTGAGACTGTAATCCTGTGGATATGCTGAAGAAAAACTCCATCTTGATCTAATACTAACGTTAATAATATAATGTTTGTCATTCTTCAGACGCCATGGGGTAGTCTGGTGGGTAAGTCGTTCCCACAAGACCAAACTCTAATATACTCACTCTTCAGACCAGGACACAGTCATTTATTTCCCAGTTGTTAGTTTGCTGAAATAATATTAGACGAATACTGAGTTGCCGTTGGATGCTTGAACTAAGTAAATGTTGTCTGTAATCAACTTTCAGATTCAAAGGAGTACAATAACAATCAAGCGTAGTGTGCTCGCATACATTGACGCCCGATTCGATGCCGCCTGGTCGACACTGGCTTTGATGTCAGCAGTCGCACCTTCACACAGTATTGTAGTGCCATTGCACGCACCTTCACACAGTATTGTAGTGCCATTTCATGCTTAGGGCAATTGTCTGAAGGGGAGATGCAAAAAAAAAATTAAAAAAGAAAAAAAAAAGAAGGGGAGATGCAAAGAAACGTCGCAAAGGAGTGCCGGAATCCTGTCATTTTGATTCAAACCCTCGTTCATCCTTATCATGTTTCTATGTTTGTCAGCATCAACCCATGCTTGTAGGTTTCACCAAAATGGTAAATGTCTCAGACTTTCGGCTTTCCCCCAACACCAAGCTGACACGCCGTGATGGAGCTGGAATGCTGCATGTAGCTGGAAAAACGCATTACCTTTTGAACTGCTGACATGCTTTTTGATCACTCGAAGCCTTCCTTTTCATATTGTTGTCTAGGGTGCCAACTGTACTCCACTGCCTTCCTCACTACCTTATTGATGCTCACCTCTAATGCATTTCCCGTGCTGCGCTATTGGTTGAAGGTTACGTCCCGCGACAGCAACAGTATGCGGATAAATCAGGTTTACTCTCCAGGGACTCTGACAGGTACAGGTGTATGTTACGGGAAAACGATAGGCAGAAAATGGTACACATTCATGAGTGAGTCAGTATGGTTTTACGCCGCTTTTAGCAATATTCCAGCAATATCTCGGCGGGGGACTACACATTCATGAGATGAATCAATAAGAGTGAATCGGTTTATGAAAGCATGGTTTGATTGCCTGAACACCTCACTCAGCTATAAATATTCTCTTATGCAGGACCTGTCGATATTTCTTGGCATCAATAATTTGTCGCTTTATTTGCATACTTAGTGGTATTCCTAGAAAAGATCTAATCAGGCCTCGATGTGTTTGCACAGCGGTGGTAAGGGAGTCCATGCAGAGTGTTGGAGTATCTGAGAGCAGGGTCAGAACAGAGCAATTACCTTGTGTCTCAGGGACGACAGGTACGGCAGCGTGCACATTGAAAGATGTCGACGGATATGTCGTCGTCGACGTCCTCGGATGAGACGGATGGAGAGCTGGAGGACCAACAGACTCATCCCACCAGGTCCCAGGGGCCGGACATACACAAGGTAACACAATGTTGTCTTTATTGACGCTTCATTTCACGGTTCGTGCCTCAATCTGCAATATTCGAGCGGTATGACGACGGCCGGTAAATAATCGAGCATGGACCGGACAATCCTGTGATTAATATTATGAGCATCGATCGACGCAATCGGGATACGATGACATGCATCAACCAAGTCAGCGAGCCTGACCTACCGATCCATTTAGACGCCTGTTTCGACAATCACAAGTTGCTTGGGACCTGTATTCTTTCCCTACATCCCTACTGGTGTCGCTTCAATCACGTTACATGTATATGGTGATTTGTTTCGCTTATTTAATATTTATGTAGACTAACATCTAGTCTGAAATTTACATCTGAAAACAGTTGTTAAATAATAGTAATGAAAAGGAGCCCAGAGAATATCTTGATACTGCAGTAATCTAGACTTGCATGGGCTGGATATATTTGTTTCAGGGTGCGCATGACAGCCTCATATTTAAGATCACGAAAATGAAAACTGAGAAGTTTATGAAAGGGTAAATATTTAGGAAGAGGGCGGTTGAGAAGCCTAGTGGTTAAAGCGTCCGCTCGCCACGCCGAATACACAGGGATGAGTCCCACATTGGTACAATGTATGAAGCCAAAGTCTGGAGTCCTCCGCCGTGATATTTCTGGAATCTTTCGAAACCCACATGTAGAAAGGGGTCTCTGCTTTGGTAATAACAACGTTTCTTGTATTGTTGAATTGTTAAATCGAATGATGTGCGTGTATGTATAATCCCTGAAAGAAGATACAATAAAACATTTCAAGAATTCTCGGTTCATTGCTGGGCTTAAGGGCTGTAGTGCTGTACAGTGATATCCTACCCGTGTGTAGTCCTGTACAGTGATATCCTACCTGTGTGTAGTGCTGTACAGTGATATCCTACCCGTGTGTAGTCCTGTACAGTGATATCCTACCCGTGTGTAGTGCTGTACAGTGATATCCTACCCGTGTGTAGTGCTGTACAGTGATATCCTACCTGTGTGTAGTGCTGTATAGTGATATCCTACCCATACTACTAACAGCAATCTCACAGAAAAGTTCTTTTCCTAGAATAAATACCTGCGATGCCGTCTATGTAAAGTCGTCGCTATATGGCTGAAATAATGCCGATGCGACGTTAAATGTTAACTCACTCACTCACTCACTTCTATGCAAAGCAGCTGTGTGAAAGGAAAACTGTTGTGCTGAAATATGTCACTTTGTAACATTAAATGCAGTTTATTTGAGCAAGGTTTGATTAAGATGTTTTAATTAAATTGTGTGTTTAATCCTTTGTGTGGTGGGAAAAGGCGTCGGTGGTTCGATCCCGTGCCCGTCCTATACCCAAATATATTTGAAGGTGGTACTTGTTGTTACCCTGCCTTGCACTCAGCATTAATGGGGAAAAACAATGACTGTTCGCTCGGACTCAGTATACTGTGTGTGAGTTGGGTATTCATGTTAAACAGCGGCAGGGTGGGCTGACACTATGAAACCGGCATAAGTTCGGACCAGTACAAGCAGCCAAAAACGAGTACATGTACGTCGCTATATAAAAGTGCGATGGTCTTGAACGCGACGTTAAACCCCATCTTACTTCTCTTATTCACGTTCATAGAGGCACACATAGGAAAGAAAGGATGGACAGATTGTACCCCTAGGGTGCCAGTTCTCTATCAGGTGTTCTCTATCAACATACATGTATATTTTAGTTTCTCTTTACTTGTTGGAGCGCAAAGGTGTGTCGGATTTAGTGTTAAAAGTATTGAAAGGGTTACATTGGCTTTCCAGATATTTTAAAATAACGACCATGGTGTCGTGCATGCGCGTGCGGTAGCACCCTAACAGAGGCCTCTGGCGTCAATTGGGACACCTTCAAACGGTTGTATTTCCCTAACGAACACTTATAGGTGTGTTGGTTTTGGTATAAAATGTCTTAAAATTTTGAGAGCTTTCCTACGAGCCATTTTCACCGTGGTTTGTGTTTATCCATGTCACGGTCTTGTGCCTGTCATTTCCCCGAGTTTATTTCGGCACCGCTCGGCAAACTCTCAGAGGGTCGCTTTCATTCTGCGTTTGAGAATTAATTGCCCGACTATTTCATTCTCTTGTGAAATAATGACACTCTCAAACCATGTTCTAGTATTGGCTGGATGTATGTTGTCTCATATGTTCGCTACCATATTCTTGTATTGAAAATGTTTTTGTATTTATGATTTGCAAACATTAGGATAATTTCTATCTACATGTATTTATGATAGTTTTTGCCTCACGAATAATTGTACATGACTTCTTGTGAATCGTTTGGTAGCTTATGTTCAGTGGGTTCAGTGTAGATATGGTACTTAATTTGCTATTCTTGTTTTCCCCGTGTTTAGAAACAGGCGTTAGCTGGGCCCCTCAGTCTGTTGTATTCCCCGGCGGTCCAGGAGAGAATGCCCCCCCCCCCCCCCCCCCCCCGACTTCGTTAAATCGTTCACGATTGTCTCGCTTCTGGAGTGGTTACGGTCGAAACTCAGGTTTCGTCAGTAAGTGGGTTTGGGGCTATGTCGATCTAGATTCTGACTTAGTCTGGATGTACTGAACTAAACTTAGTTACTAGGGTTTTTAATACTTAGTTTTGCTAGTAATCCGCGGAAAACCAACCTTCTCGTGATTAACTAGCTATTTGGGAACTTCAGTATTTCCTTGTTCAGTCAAAGTGACAGAATCTTTAGTCGATTAAGACTAGTTGATATTCAGACCTAATCGTCTATTTTTGTGGTCCAAGTGACTTACTTATCTTAGGGATCAGTCCTCAGTGTTTATTTCCCGTTATTTTACTCAGCCGAGGTTATTCACTCACTAGAGTGTGGAGTTACTTGACTCAGGTGTTAATGGTATAACTGGAATAATGTTAAAAGCAGCGTTAAACTCATACACTCATAGGTAAGAAATATGTTTATGGATGGTCCATGAATCACTACAATGTCAGGTCACAAAGCCGTAACAGTAGGCGTCTCTCCTTAGAGACTTTAAAACATTCTGAGGAATGATCTGGGCATGACAAAGGTTTCAGCACACTGGGTTCCATAGTTTCTGATCCCTGATCAAAAACGCTCCAGGTATATCATATGATAATTTATATCTTCTAATGCAGGCCCAGTCGATTCTGTGGAGCAATTTCCCTTAAAGGTCAGACTATTAATGGCCAATATTGTGCTAATCTGCTCTGGGAACTGCGTGAAAGTATCAAGCATAAACTGCATGGAAAACTCACTTAAGGTGTAAAGGTGTGTTGTTCCACAAAATAGCTGTGAAAAGGATATGAATTGACCCCTGAAAATAAGTGATGACACCAGCTGTTCGTGGAAAGGGTAAACAAGTACATATACCAACAAGTATCATGATTCATTTTCACATGAAATTTATTAATTTCTTCAACAATACTGGATATAAGTTGTATCAACAAATGGTAACACAGTTACCAGTATATATACAGGCAATGACATTTGACAAAAAGTTTGCAACTTGTTAACAAGAATACAGATCAACATGAGAAGTCCATCATGTGTATATCTCAAATAAATGTCTAAAGGTCAATATTACATCAACAATTAAGCAGCATGCAGAACCCATTCAAGGTTAACACAACACTTCTTATGTATATCAAAAAAGTAATAATAAATTAAGCAAATATATGAGATCAATGTTCTACTTTTTTGCCAGCACAAAGTTATATCTGTGTATCACATTATTTGTTTCAGAATCCAAGAGCATGTGAAAGTTGTTATGGTGAAGCTCTCTTCATGAGAGTCCTCCATCTGCTTCGGAGTTCCTCGGCCCTGCGTCCCCGTGAAAACCGGAACATATTCAGTATGCCCTTCCAGTTGTAGCCTAAAGTCTTCACCCCTCGGCGCAAGCGGCGTTCTTCACACATGGAGAATGGCTTGCTGTCTCTCGCTCTTTTCTTTAAACCATTGCTGGACTTTACCTGAAGTAAAGGAAACTGTCTAAATAACTTGTCAACATATCTAACAAAACCAAACTATTATCAAACACTAAGAAGTCCACTTTTCAGAAGTTCTTCAGTAACTTGCCTCTGAGACCGTAAATGACTTAGGATAAAAAAATAATAGTCTTGGCTCTCAGGCACCGCCCACATCATCATAAAGTTTGCTGCACATTTCGTTTTATTTCCATTAAAAAAATAATTAAAATCCTTAAATATTCAAAGTCCAACGGTAGTAAAATACTGTATTCCAGTATTCTACTCTCAATGAATACATTTATGTAGGGAGGCCCTTGGTAGTAAAATACTGTATTCCAGTATTCTTCTTATCAAGGAATACATTTATGTAGGGAGGCCCTTGGTAGTAAAATACTGTATTCCAGTATTCTACTCTCAATGAATACATTTATGTAGGGAGGCCCTTGGTAGTAAAATACTGTATTCCAGTATTCTACTTATCAAGGAATACATTTATGTAGGGAGGCCCTTGGTAGTAAAATACTGTATTCCAGTATTCTACTTATCAAGGAATACATTTATGTAGGGAGGCCCATGGTTGACTGTACACAACTGTTTATTTGGTTACATACTAGTTTGAACAACAACAACAACAAGACACCGCCCGCACACTATATTTTCATAAGCCATTGCCTGAGTACCAATTTTTTTATTATTTTAAACCTTATTACAGACATATTTATCAACCATCAAATGTGATCTGTGCTTTATACAGGGAAGTATTGCTTGCTTTGATAATGACCTTGGAAAGTACTTCAGTCTGACTTGACAAGTTGGGGATTCAAATGACAATAGTGGCACTGTGATTAAAACTGACTATTTGATGCAAATGCATCGATCTCTGCAGAGAAGTTCATTCTGATTGAAGCAAGGCAAATAATCATATTAGCAGGAGTAGGTTATTAAATGTAGATCTGATGTTCCTGCAACATTCAAAGATGGTTTAACATTATTATTTTCTCAGAAAACATGATTTAAATCGGTAAAGAGGGTGTGAGGTATGTTATGGACACCAGCTTGAACGTTATCACTTCACTTCACATGTCTGAGGCAAGTATGAAAATATTCAGTGGATCCACAGAATTTAGAGAATTCCGTTACAAGGGTCACTTTTGTGATACATGCTATCATCATGTTAGTAAAAAATATTTAGTACCCCAGATCCCCCAGCTACTTTCAGTCCCTGCTGAGGAATGTTCTGACATCATAAAGGCTGTGTGCAGTAAAGTAAATCTTTCAAGGTTAGTGAAATCGTCACATGACAACTAGCCGTCACTTCATTCACAAAAGAACAATCCCTGATCTGTCAAGAGATGCATACATTCAATGAAAATTAGTAAAATCTCAATATTTTTGCCAAGCAAAACTACTGGTTAGCAAAATAACCCCAGTGTTGGGTATGCGAACACTACGCGAGTCAGGTAAGGTTGGTTCTGGACAGGAGCACTTAAAGGGTGATGAGGATTGGTGGGCTGCCTTTGCTACAACCAGAGGGCCAAAACTATGAATGCCATCAACATCTTCCAAGGTCACAATCCTCATGTAATGGCTTATGAAGACAATGTCGGACCTCTATAAAACGATGTTTCATGAAGAGGCTCAACAGGGGAGCACGTAAAACACCGAAATATGACATTCAAATCCCTTGCAGGGTGACAAGACTTTGCCTTCTGATCTTCAAGGCGCTATTATGCTCATTGCGGGAGATTGGTCATTTAAAAAAAATAAAAATTATCTTCCCGAACTGCCAACACTAAATTGAGAATCACCAAATAGGTGGTAACGGTGTCCGCTGCATTTCAGGTGTATCTTGGTACGCAGATAAGATAAGAATTGAGGCCTATCCTTTTCAAAGAGGTTCCGTAAGAACGCCAGCCATCATTACAAAGGTCTCGGGTTGAAGGTCATGTGCTATAGCCTTAACTGCCTATGTTGAATAGCCTATTGCACCTAGAGCTCTCTTAAGATGAATCAGGCATGCAGATGAAACCTGCCGAATGTTCCGACATCTAGGAATGTGCTGGACCAGAACACGTAGGCCCAGCCATTCTTCCAGATGAAACGTCTGTAGATTGTCGAGGCTGTGGAGACAGCGAGTGTACCTGAGGCGCTCCTGCCAGTGTGATATCGCTTGAGTGCCTTCAACTCCAAGTTGTTCATGTGCCACCCAAACCTGTAGAAAGGCGTCTACGAACAGGTGTGATGTTGGGGACCTCCGAAGACATTCGACTCTACTGTCCACCAGCTGAGATGACTCAGGTGAGGTGGGAGAGCGACGGATACACAGGGGTCCTGACATCTGATGTAAGGCGCCAGGAGCTGTTGGATCGGACACAGGTGGAGTCGATCTTTGCTCGTCAAACCCTGGGCTGACGTGAGCAATCCCAGGAACACTTGCCACTGACAAAGTGTAGATGGCTGTTGAAGAGCGGGTAGCAGATTGGGCTGTCTACTAGGCTGTAAAGTTGAAAAATCAACTACAGGAGGGATTCATTCTGGTTGCGTCGTGCCTCGACGAGACATGGAAAATGGTGTTTGTCTGCGAACCAATGCCAGATCCCATGGAGACTAAAAATAAAAGTACTCCCCAAACGATTGCCAAAGCATTGACAAAACGGACATTGAAAGAGTGAGTGAATATGGTTTTACACCACTTTTAGCAATAATCCAGCAAGATCACGGATCGGGAGACCAGAAATGGGCTTCACACATTGTACCCATGTGGGAAGTCGAAACCAGGTCTTCAGTGTGACAAGCGAACACTCTAACCACTAGGCTACCCGACCGACCGACCCTGTCATGGAAAGAAGATAAAGTCAAATCTGTATCCGGAAGATAAGGCTGAATATTTATAAATCTATTGTCCGAAAGATCGTACCCTATGATCATTCATATCCCCTGGGCGTCATAAAAGCAATCCCATTTCTTATGACAAGGTGATGAAGAAGGGAGGTGCCTCGTTACTCCACTGTGTTTTTGTCGGAGGTCAACGTAATGGTTGTGGGAAAAATTATGATAACACTGTACTTAGTTGAATGAATGAACTTAATGAATATATGGTTTGAAAAGAAAGTACCGTACAAGAAAGGTGATCATTTCCAACGCCTGGTGATCATATAAGCGCTCCTGTTTCTTATATCGAGGTGACGATGAAGTCTGGTGCCTCTTACTGCGCAAGTTTGCATCGGAGGTCTACTAAAGTTAGTGACTCGGTGACATTGACATACAGCGATAGGCGTCTGATCGAGCGGTGGCAGCATTACGGGCAAAGAAACATGCAAACCAATCTTGTACAAATACACTGCACAGCTAGCATTAAGTCAGTACTAGTTGACCTACTTCTGGCAAAGTCGGATATGTTTACAGTCAGAGAGTTCTTGACACGTGACATGTAATTCACCCTGCGCAGTAACCTTGAATCCTGTATTTTGTGGGAGACAAGGTTCAAGCTCCACACACAGACAATACACTGTGAACTGTGTGGTAGACAGACAAGGGGTGTTTCTGAGTTCTGTGTAGGATGTGTGACGTGGCCGGTGTAAGCGCAAGTTGACCTCCATGATATTTGTGACGGTTTAGACTGTCCAGTAAACAATGATCCCGAGAGCAGGCACCCGAGAGCATATGATGATTCTGTCAAATGTCTTAATCGACCAAGAATTTGTGATGATCTTCAAGTTTTGATACAGATCATGTCTACCAGCGCCACATGAAACAAATTCTTTGAGAGTACTATCACTATCACCGTGGAGATAGTGAGAATTGGCGGGAACTTTCCCAGAAACCTCGAACACGTCCTGTCCATTTGATGACAAACAGTAATGTGATGATATGTGATGTCATTACTTGTTTGGTCACGTTGGCTCTGTGCAATAGTATTACTATTAGCCACACACCTAGTTGGAACAACTTCTTCTGCAGGTGGACCTCTCACAGCTTTGTTATTTCCTGTCAGAAATGCATTAAGGAGTAATGCAGGACAAGTTAACAAATTAATAATATTCCTTCCCTTCTGTAATTAAAGATTAAAGATTTGTGGAAGTTGTCACATGATTATCAGTACCATTCTCTTGTGCTTTTCCATGAGGTCCACTGCTGTGCGTGAGGGGTGGAACTTGTAGGTGACAAGGATCTGGTTCCACTTGGTCCCCAGCGTCTCCACCCCATGTGACAGGTTGTCCACCTCCTCCTGACTGTATGCTACACGTTGGCGCTTGTGCTTCCTGGTCCTTGTCCGATGCAGTCTCACAACATTCAGTGTGTTTCTCGAATCTGTTGGGCGTGGTGGCGATACAAACTGAAACAGCAGAGGTGTGGATAAGTTTACTTACATCACATTCTGCATGGCAGCTTCAGTGGACACTTTGAGGAGATGGATTTCACTGTTCAGAGTTGCCTGCATAAAAGTTTACACAATGCAGGAATTTGTTTCCATTGTTCTTTTAGGTTGTTCATACTTGGTAACTACCCGCATCTGCACATGGTAAGGTTTCTTTGTAATAAAAATCCTGTGATGTTATTACAAACTTCAAGTTACCAAGCACCTGCAAATACAAGTGTAATAAGGGTGTCAGTTCGTAGGGGTTGTCATTGCTTGTCAAGTCCATTTTGCCACCTTTGAGTGCTATGGAATTTTCTGCTCTTGGCTTGGCCATTAGGTTTTGAATCCCATGCCCTTAGGAAGATCCCTAACCTGTACGAATCCCAGATTCCAACTGATTATGAATTTTGGTTCGTCAACAACAAACTCATGCTCAAAGGTTTCACCAACGTGGTAAACATACCCAACTTGTGTTATGGGCTTTCCTCCAGCAATCTTATAACACACACTGTATATAAAATACTGTAGGTTAACCTGAATCACTCACTATGTCTACACAGGCAGAGCGTTTGTTACTCAGAGGGGTCCTGGGACCCATGAGGCTTGCTGCTCTACTGTTTGAATCTAGGGACCCATTGCGTTATATTTGTATCTTTGTTTAACGCTGTACTCAGCACACTGGGTTAAACCCACACGTCTTTCATGCTTTACTTCAAACACTTGGGGGAACTGCACCTGGACATCTCAACACTGGCTCTCAAAACTTGGGATCTCATTAAAAGCAAATAAGCGTCCATCCTAAAAACTTACATACCACTGCAATGTATCTAGGTATTTGATATTTAAATGTAAGTTTCTTAAAGTTGTCATCTACACAGACTGGGTCTGCCTGTTCAGTGGAACATTGGATCATTCTCACAACAGACAATTAAATGACAATGCCTCCTGATTAATACCTTCACATCAGCCATCAGTTCTGGCAAACATATAAAAATTGAGTAAGCATAAAAAATCAGATTAATTTAAATACACATTAACCATCACATGATGAATACAGCTCTTCAGTTACTCTTCTCTACTGTACAACTATTGAACAGCAACAGAAAGAACTGAAACATACTGTTTTTCCAATTTCTGTTTCACTACTGGAAACACGAAAGTCATATGCAGCAAGTCCTTTAGCAGAAGGGCAGGATCGGCAAAGATTCACATCACTAAGGGCAGGAATAGGACGGGACGGTTTGACAACCTTGTTGGATTTCTGTCTGAGAATGAACTCCCGTTCTGCCTCCCTCATTTCACGGTGATGGTCACATGTGCTGCTGCTGGTCTCCATGGCGATGTTGTAGGTACGACTGTTGAGATCACACTGCAGCTGACTAGGAGGGTGACAACCTGATGAGGGAAATATTTCATGAATCACATGATAATTGTCTTGACATGAATCAACCAACATGACAACAGTCTCTGCACTTTTTAATGAAGATGTTACTTTTAACTTTTAAAAACTGATACATGCACATTCAGTCAACATGAAAACCTATGTAGAACCCTGTGAAGATCTGAGTTAGAACTGTTCTTCAGCAAGCCATGCTTGTCGTAAGATGCAACTAACGGGATTGGGTGGTCAGGTTTGCTGACCTGGTTGATGCATGTCATTTTAGCCCAAATGAAAAGATCAACAACGTTAAACAAGAAATAAACAAACTATGTATCCACACTTTTCAAGCTACTTACCTGGACACAAACCCTTCATTGTTGAAACTTTGTCCGTTCTCTTTTCTTGGTCATCTGAAAACGCCAACAAACTTCAAACAATTACAAAAACAACAGGTTACAGGTATTTGTAGGTACAATCAGAGGTATTTTTAGCAGTAGGCTTCAGCTTGGGACCCACCTAAGGTAAGGTAAACTGTATTTATTTTATAACCTGATGACAAACAAGTTCATTCAGTAACATATGAAGTCCCTATCACACAATAAGATGAAAACGTTCCAACATCTAGTCCTATCGTAATACTTACTTTGTGACTATAGCCTTTTATAAGACTACATAAGGCTTGTGAAGAGCTTCACTTGTTTAATATCATATAGCACCTATGATGCAGCAAGCAAATTTTAAACTGCTGTTGGTCTTCATTCATGCAAAGTTTCAGATTTCTAATTAAACTTTCTTTTCTACAAATATCAAACATTTTACTTCAAATTTTTGGTTCTTTTTCATTTTTAGAATAATTAGAATTCATTTCACAACTAGGTCTACTTCAAAAAATTATTGAATATTTCACAACAACACTATCTGACATCAGATAAGTCCAAATACATACATGCTTATAAACAAATGATGAGCTATAAACAGCAAAAATATTCACAAATCACCTATTACTAGATTTTTGTGTGTACTTAACATGAAGAACCTTCGCACAGCATGTCCTGGTTGAAGGCCATGTGCTCACACAATGTTAATAGATAAAGCTTGTAAATATTTTGAAAGGATATATGAAATGTACTGTGGCCATGTGCTCACACAATGTTAATAGATAATGCTTGTAAATATTTTGAAAGGATATATGAAATGTACTGTAATTTTACTCTAATGAATGACAGTGATTTTGATCTATTCCTACAGCAGGATGGGAACTGGATGTTGATGAAATACTCCTTCCCTGAAAGAGACAACCATACCTCACAAGATCATGCATAATGCATGCAGAGGGAGAGAAAGGAAGCTTGGAGAAAGGACTAACAACCAATCAGAAGATAGGTAACATCTGACATACAGGTGTGACAGGAAGTGAAGATTGTTAACACTAATTGAGAAAGGTGGTGATGTATCTAAAAATAGATAGGGGAATTCCAGTGACAAAGTAGTGACATCAGTGACATGGGTATAAGAGGTAGTCATAAGGGGGCTCACATTCAACTGCAAAGACAGCATCTAATCAACTGAAATGCAATGATGATGAAGAAAATGTTTATCAATATATGGGGTGATTAAGTTGATGCACTTATGTGGCTAACTCTAAACAAAGTATAAGTAGCCCCACTGAGCAGCTACATAAAAGATAACACTATTATATAATGCAATGTATTATTCATCAGAGAGAATATATCAGTTTTTTTGTAAGTAGATCTTACCAAGTGAACATTCCCTTTAGTCAGTCCATGCAAATCATCTTCAAAATGTCTTTACCACTTAGAAAGATTAGGTATGATTTCTCTCTCAGGTATCCCTATACATACTAAATATTTTAGGTTTGTTCTATTTTCCTTTGAGATTATCATAGAAAGATAACATTTCAGCAATGTTTACTATTTTATATGTTGCTGTATTAAGTGACTCTTATCAAAACATGAAACACTCAAATCTGTCTTGATGATGAACTACAACCTAGACCTGCTGAGCCAGATTCCACCATACACAAGTACCAGTGCTGAAATCTTGAACTGATTGGGTGAGTGAGTGAGTTGGGTTTAATGCCGCTTTTAACAGTATTCCAGTTATATCGCGGCGTGTCAGCTTAATGTGGGAGGAAAGCCCAAAGTGATGCAGGTCTCAGACGTTTACCACTTCTGTGAAACCCACAGGTATGGTGCTGACAAACCTAGAAACATAATTGGGGCGAACCTGGATTCGAACCCACAATCATAGGGGGTTACATACATACGAATCATGGGGTTACATACAGCAGGTTGATAACAGTTCATAACCACACTCATCGTAGGAAACATGCTTTGAATGAGTATGTAGTGGATAAAGTCAGGAACTAATTTAGGAAATCGCAAGGCCATATCTTCTACCCCAGACTGAATGAAACATTTACTAATTCATGTTATAAGAATTAAGAATACCTTTTTGTAAATTTCTATTTTTTCAAAGCAGATTAGTATCCACTAATACCACAGCCCCATACAGAGAAAATAGTCTTACAAACTTTGTTTTTACATTAATGCATTCCACAAAATTGTAAAACACCCAAACATCAGGACTTTACAAAAATTCATATTATTCACACCAATTTTCCTGCTACAGACATAAAATCCTAGATATAGTGGACAACAATAATTGCTGTCTGCCATTACCTTCTCCTGCCTCACTGCTCCTGCTACTGCTGTCATCCTCGGAGTGTGTGTACACCGATTCTGAATCTGTGTCAGACAGCTGGGACCACCCCATCACAGACAGGGGCTTGGAGTAGGCCGGCGACGGACACGCAGTTGGCCGCCGGACATCCGTCCAACATCTCAGCTGGTGGGAACTTAGCTTCCTCACTGTTGGCGTGCAAGGTCCAGAGAGTTCAGTGAGGTCTGCCTCTCTGTGTCTGTTGACTCTCTTGGCGGAGCTGAGAAGAGCCAGGTCGAACTCTGAGTGTGCTGGTGATGCTGCAGGGGTGACCCGTGGAGTGGATGGACCCCGCAGTGGCGAGTGCCTCACTGAAGCACACTCTTGAATCCCCACGACAGACCGTCGGGCCAGAACTCGGACGTTCCGTCTGCTGCTGGATGAGGACGACCCACAGCTGGATGGAGCCTTGGTTCTCCTCCTGAGAGGTGTATTCAATGGCTTCAGGAACTGTCCCTTGACTGAGGCAAATTGTGATGGTGCAGTGACAGGAGCTGGAGTCTTAAAAACAGAGGATTGACAGGAAGTAGATGTAGGAACCATCTTCCCATTCCTCTGTGGTGTATTTGAGCTGGCTGGACCATTTATATTGAGGCTTCTTACCACTCTGTTGGGTTTATCACTGTCGACACAGGCAGTATTAGGCCTTTCCATTACTGCTGACGTCTGTTTTGTCAAGGAACCATTGTCTGTTGCACAAGAGCATGTGAAAGAACTTTGATCATTCCGTTTCTGTGAATGGAGTAGTGATTGTTCAAAATGAGAGTTTTCAGCGCTGGTATTCCGAGGAGAACCAGCACATTGACATTGACTGTCAGCCCGAGTGGCCAGGTTTCTACAATCTTTTCCACATCCTCTGTCAGTGTTCATATAGATACCATCCATGGCACTTCCTTTCTGGGACACATATGGACTGACATCACACTCTCGGTCTCTCGCATCTTTTTTACAGTCAACCGTCTTGCAACTCCGTCGAAAACATTCTTCTGGATCAATTGACAAACTTCTGTATATTTGATTTTCATCATGTACATATTCCTCTGATTTGGTTACCTCAATATCACACCAATTGCCCCTCTCAACTGGACTACAAACATAATGTTTCCTGTCTGCAATATGTGGTGAGTTACAACTTCTATTCAAATTCTGTCCATATTTTCCAAGTAACCACCTGTGTCCACGTTCATCAAATGGCCCACACTGTAATGGTGTGTGTTGTACACTGCTGTAACCATGATCACCAGATGCAGCTGCAGACCTGACTCGGGCAAGGCTAAAGCTCATATCACCATCACGGTGTGGACTTGTCACCCTATCTTGCCTGTGACCACCGTCACCAATCCTGGAGTCACTCCTACATCGGTGCTCGTAGTCCACCACAGACATTGGTTGCCATGTTGCAGGTTTGCCTGGACTCCTGTAGTCATGGGAACTCTCTGGGGCTTGATCTCTTCTTAATAGATTCTCTGGAATGAGATGTCTGAGCCAATTCAGTAAGTGAGGAGAACCTTTTGATCTATTCCTTTCAGTGTCTGAATCAAGTCTTGTCACTGCTTGGATAGGTGTGTGATGGTTTATGACGTAAGACTGTGACATATCATTCTGGTTGAGGTGAGGCGGCAATATGGTCTGTTGTCTGTCGTGAATGTGCTTGATCTGTTCAGTAGGATTGCACCCACTCCTTGCATCCAGGAAGTGACAGAAACCAGTCTGAGGAGCTGGTAGATTGTCGGCCACCTGAAAAGTCTGTTACAGATGTTACCGTAGAGAATGTGTGCCTGGTCTTATAATGATTAGAACATTATTGGTTGGTTGGTTGGTTTGTTGATTAACGCCGCACTCAGCAATATTCCAGCTATATGACGGCGGTCTGTAAATAATTGAGTCTGGACCAGACAATCCAGTGATTGAAATCATGAGCATATATCCACCCAATTGGGATCGATGACATGCATCAACCAAGTCAGCGAGCCTAACCACCCGATCCCGTTAGTCATCCCGTTTCACGACAAGCATAGTCACCTTTTATGGCAAGCATGGGTTGCTGAAGACCTATTCTACCCCGGAATCTTCACGGGTCAGAACATTATTACATCTATTAGTCATCACTATGTAGCAACTGGTGTATCATCCACAATTTAACCATAGAAAATTGACACAAAGTACTTGTGAACACAGAAGTGTTCAACCTGTAAGAGAGCCGAGTTTAAACTCACTGGTGTAAAGCCTGACATGGCCGAGATCAATGAAGAATTTTGACTTGGTTGAAACACACAAGCATGAAATACTTATGACAATGCTGATCTTAAATGAGAAACGCTACTAAATATTATGATATTCCAACTAAACAGTGAAATGTATTCAAGGCCGTGCCCATTGTTTGCTGTTATACAAATTACTATGTGAGTGACACATTAATACACAGAAAGCTAACATGTGATTGACGTACTAATCTATAAACAAAGTAGACACAATTTATGGATAAGAACTTCTTTAATACTGTAAAGGCGATGTTTCGGTATTGATCCTTATACCGTTGTCAAGAAAGACTGTCAGATCTATACCAAAACGTCACCTTTACAGTACTAAAGAAGTTCTTATCCATAAATTGAGTCTACTTTGTCATCCATCAACTTCTAAGTAATGCCTATAAAACAATACGACCCTCAGAACGTAGAGTATATTCGTTGGGGTCAAAAGTCAGGTGACTAGCATTACTGTGCTCACCAGCAGTAGATTTAGATGCTGGTGTTGGGACATGTACTTACATGTTGGCCTCTTGCAGGTGGTAGTATAGTGCAGGAGTTGTTCTGGTCCATGGCACTGGCTTGGTTGGACTCCTCCTGATATGTTTCAAGTCTCGATGCCAGCTCCTCAATCTTCTCCAAGATCAGCTGACTGCTCTTCCTGTCCAATATTGGAATCACACTCCATCATCAAGACACTTTTTTATGGATAGCAACTTCTTTTATTCTTTGTGGGCGGTCGGGTAGCCTAGTGGTTAAAGCGTTCGCTCGTCAACCGGGTTTGATTCCCGACATGGGTACAATGTGTTAAGCCCATTTCTGATGTAACCCGCCGTGATATTGCTGAAATATTGCTTAAAGCGGCGTAAAACCATACTCACTCACTCACTTTTATTCTTTGTACAACGTTTCAGAGCTACTTCTTGCTCCTTCATCAGGTGAATGCCCAGTAGGTGCATAGAGTACCATATATACATAAGTCATGATGTTTACATAAAGTGTGATGAATGTACAACGATAACAACATAATATGCACTTACTGGGCATTCACCTTATGAAGGAGCAAGCAGTAGCTCTAAAACATCATACAAAGAATAAAAGAACTTGCTATCTAAAAAAAAGTGTCATGTATTCATGTTCTCCCAACTTCTAAATGCTCATCAAAGACTTCATCACCAAGCATACACACAATGCCTAAGTGAAGTTGCTTATTAATAACTGTTACAGCAAACTGTTTAGACTTCCATGATTAAACTGAGTATCAAAGAGACGTCAGTACATGCTTGGCCTCCAATCTGCTTCACCCTGGACCTTTGCTTATATTTTACAACTGCTTCACTTACAACTAATTCAATGATAAAGAATGCAACCTCTCCTGTGAGAATATAACAGACTCAAAATAAGGCTGGAAACGGTAACTCGGGTACTCGGGTAGGGTGGGTACTGAGTAGGACCCAGGTACCCACAGGACTAACCTGAACCATGGTTAGTCACTTGATCATATTGTTAAATTGCAAAAATTATCTGAACTCTATGGTCACTCTAAAAGTGTCAAATATTCACATTTCTTTCTGACTATGCACACAGTCCTTCTGACTTTATATGTTTGCATAAAGATAAAACTTCAGTCAACTTCAGTGTATGCAGCGTTAGAAATTGGCACTGGTCCTGTAGTCCTTGCCAAACTCCCCAATAGTTAAGGTATCACAAGGACTAGTAGAAATTTGCCATTTTTAAGGGTTTTGCTATATGTTATCAATTTAAGTACTAGTGGACTAAACTGTTAGTTTCTAACGCTGTGTATGCATGACTAGATCGGTTTATACATGTATATAAATACATTTTGCCAGGAGTCTGGTCAAACGTTTCCTAATCGAACATTTTATACCTATCTCTTGAGACCTACACAGGGTACCAGGGTAGGGTCGGGTAATAGGGGGATGGGGTACCAGGGTAGTAGATTTGGACTCGTCCCAGCCTTAACTCAAATAACATGATTTTCTAATGTTACAAAAGATATATCAGATTAATCATGTACCATGTTCTTTGAAGAACTTGTATCCTATGATTGCTTGTGTTAAAAAATGTGCGTACATTTGGAATGCAACAAAGAATCACATAAAAATCATTGGATCACATTGTCCCAAAGGGAGTGTTGACTTATGGAGTTATCTGATCTTGATACATCAACAGTGAGCTTTATACATCTGTGTGTGCAAATTAATTTGTCTTCCAGCCTGAAACTTAGCATCATTTTCAATGGACGAAGAAGCATGAGAACAATTAATATCGGATATTTCCAGACAGTAAGAAATAACATTAGACTTAGTTGCCATGATGATCATGATCAATAGCTGATACAGCAACAGATTCTTACATTCACCTGACATTAATAATCCAACAGCATATCATGTTGACCAGACATTAATACACAGGTATTGAAAGTGTCAGACAAATATCAAAGATTGCCCCCTTGACCAAAGTCAAATTAGAATCAATATAATAGCTTGTACAAATTGCTGCACTCTCCCTACGGCTCCCTGAAATAGACGTGCTGTTTCTGCTGCTGCTGCTACTGCCCACATGGAGGCTGATCCGAGCTTTCTCAACACCTGCTCCCTGCAAGTCTACTCGAGTCATCAGCAAACAGCCGACACAGATATATCCGTCCCATGCCTCTATTGATGCCCATACTAATGTAACTGGGAGGGAATCTACTGCTTGGGAAAACAATCATGTTCAATGACAGGAATCTTAACTTACTTCAAATTTGGTTTCACTTCAGGTTGAGCTGTCTGTTTGTCACATTCTGAAATGAAACTCAACAATTCATTGTAAAATAAGGGTTATATGGCAGTGCTCGAAAATAAGAACGAATGTAAATGAGCTTTTGTCATAACCCAAACATCAAAAAAAAATGTTCAAGGGTCAATGCATTAAAATACCATAACAGCAACCTAAGAGCCTCGGGATACCCCTTGTTAGTTTTTTATTAACTGTTCAGTTTTATATTTTACACTAAAATGCAAGTTTCTGTTATAACCCTTATTGCATACTGAGCTCCTGGTTAGCTGCGTATCTGTGTACTAAACGCAAAATATATCACCATATCCCAATTAACTTTAAGTTGTTTGCATACAAATAAAATTATGCATTAATAATTTCAAAACCCTTTGTGCGTAATTACCCAATGTAGCCTTTACAGCTTGCTTGCGTTGTGAAATATCTTTACACATCTTTATTTCCTGTTTAAATGTCGGCATCACCTATACATAAATTGTACTGCAGGAAATAATGCACAAATGGTAGCCTTGCTCCAAGGCTGTACTGAAAGAAAAGTTCATGGCTGTGTAGTTATTTTATCCTCCTAATAGGCAAGTCTAGAAATACGGACAGTACAGGACGCCAGTCTCTTATAGGGACAACTTGTTCTTATTATTAACTTAATCTAGAACTTACGTTTTAAACTAGTAATTATTGCCTTAGAGACTTGTGCAAGCCTATACAAATGGCCACATCTCGATTATTGCAACTCAGGCATGAATCACTGTTGTGAGCTCATACCACATTTGACACACTTGAGGAAGCACATAAACAGAAGACAATGAGAGCATTATTTTAAAATTGGTTTTAAAATGCCCAATTTACTGGATCCAAGGAAATGAAAATATATCAATTACTCAAAGTAAAATATCAAATAGCCAATGTGAAGGATAACATGTTAGCAAATACTCAATGGCTCAGAAAATTATCTGGAGTCCTTCAATCAGTTTGTGACTGTGCAATAGCCTATTTGAATATTTGATGCTGATTGTTCAATTACAGCTTTCGAATTTCATTTACCGTATTCGACGTAATAAGCGCTCAGGGCGCTCTCAAAATTAGAAATAGGGGGCTCTTATTAGAATGTTATTTTGGTGAAAAAAACAGAGTTGAAAGATAAATTTCATGGTTTATGCTAACAGCCTGAAATGTTTATGCACGACAGATATATTTTTCCAGAACTAAATGCCCATAATTACGGGTGAATATAACACACGAGTGCGTATTATACGCGAATAAATAAGTCTTGTGTACATTGATCAATCGGAAGGGGAGATAATTGGGATTGTTCCCTAGCCAATATCTTAGCAAATGTCGACGTGGGCGCTTAATAGAGCGAGGCACTTATTACGTCGAATACGGTAACTCAAATTTCTGTTACTCATCTCTACCATGCTGGAGCTAAGGCATATTGTATAGAAACTGTCAAGTGCCAAACAGCATCAAAGCTTTCAATGTCTTCCACTTCAGCATAAACCTTGAAATGCTTTCACTTCTGTATAAATCCTGAAAAGGTTATACTGATCTGCTGACTACTTTTGATGGGAATTGGTAAAAGTATCTAAATTCATGTTTGGTATCATACAAAATGGTGATTTATTAATGGCTGATGATGATTGGAAATACCAAACCAGACACTAATACCTTCTTTCTGGGCATCCTTCATGTTAACAATAAATGAAACAAGAAAACATTCAAATGGCATCTACTATACTCAGCAAACACAAATACATCTATTTTCATTTACACGAGGACCAGAACCTGAAACCTTATACCGGTATGTTCATTAGTCTCTTGAAGCCTTGTACTCAGTTTCTGAAATTCCATGCCATAAAAACATATTTGATAGTGTATCTAACACTTTAAATGATCAATTCGGTACACATGCATTACACCGGATACCTACCTTCCATATTGGATTAGATCACGTGATATTCATATACTAGGATAATCACGCGCAAAAAAGGAGAAAATGAAAACGGAGAAAACTAGGTAAAAATTAACATCAAATTTGAGCTCTATGCACCACTTCCGGTCTAGTATAACCAGACTGTGTATTTTAATTCTGTTAAAATTAAATAAAAACGAAAAATGTAATGACTTTGTATGTTTTTCTTACTGTGGAATTATGGGATGCTGAACATCGTACCGTGAGAAAATTCTGAAGGTAAGTGGTTCCTGATTGGTCAATTCAGTTTTGATGTCAGTGCAAAGTAACTGCCTTATTTGGTAAAGCTACCACTCAGAGTTTACGATGAGCGTCTCTTTGACATGAAGCTGTTTGAACTATACGAAATAACGAGAAAAAAAGAAGAATTTTTGAGATATTTGCATGTAAACAATATTATTGGAAATTGGGACGGAGAAATTTGTGCCAAGTGCCGGACAGGATCCTTTTATTTGTGCAAAGACAAATCATACAGTACCGACAAGCTCTGTTGGAAATGCAACAGGAAATCTTGTGGAAAGAAACTGTCAATAAGATTCAATTCCTGGTTTGAGGGCAGCAAACTCAGCCTGCGAGCATAACCTTACTTACGTATTTTTGGGTGTACAAGGTACCCCAGGATTTTGCCAGGAGAGAACTAAACATAAATTCAACCCATACTTCGGTTGATTGGTATAACTTTTGTCGTGAAATATGTGTGTGCGTGGCAGACGAGGATAGACGAAAGCGAAATTGGGAAAAGGAAGTTTAACAGAGGAAAGAGAGTTGAGGGAAAGTTTGTGTTTGGGGGAATTGAGAGAGACTCAAAACGTTGTTTTTTTCAGGTGGTTGATGAACGAAGTTCAGCCACACTCATTCCAATTATAAAGAAACATATCAGACCAGGCACTTCAATCATTAGCGATTGTTGGAGAGCATATAATTGTTTGAAAGACGAAGATTTTTAACATTTAACAGTAAATCACCCTCTCAACTTCAAAGACCCATTTACAGGCACCAACACCAATACCACAGAATTGTCATATGGGGCACTGAAGAGATCATTACCCAAAACGGGAACAACCACTGACATGTACTGTTCATATTTTGAGGGATTTTGTGTGCGCAGAAAATATTTAGATCCAAGACAGGATAAATTTGAAGGTTTTTTTTAACTTATTCGGTGTGTTTATAATCCACAGGCTAAAGACGATGATATCATCATTCACCGAAGGCCTCTAGCAGTTGTTCAAGACAACATGAACGACAGTTTAGACGATTTTCAACTATAAAAGGTAAGTAATTTTAAATAAGGTAAACTTACCCTAAACTTACCCTAACCCTAACCCTAAAGAAGATAATAAAACGGGGATCCAAGGGCTAAAAAAGTCAGTGTAAACAGGTAAGGATACTTGTACGGCAGTAAAATGGCAGCGATAATTGCAACGCCTTTGTTGCTAAGGAAGTAGTTCGCGCACATTTTGTGAGCACAATAAAAGATGGCGGAAGGTATCAGGTGTAATGCATTCTTTCCATCAATTCCTTTGGTTCATAATTGAAACCAACAAATCCACAAAGGAATTAATAAACTGGAATAGCACAGATTGCTGTTTGAAATGCTGAGTTGTTTCTCCTGACATACGATGGCAGATTTTGATTACCCATTGTATTTTAATACACTCCACACTGGATACAATTCATTCAAAAGACGATTAGGGTTAGAAATCACCTGTTAACTGTAATAGATCTGCCTGTTCTAGAAAATCTGAAGCCAGTTATGGAGTCCCATTTTGGGGGGAGTCTAGACAGACACTTGTGTGGAGCTGTTAAGTAGAGTCGTGGTCATCGTCAGTGTGTTTGGGTATGTTCTTGACAAACCTTACCACATTCATTGTATTTCCCCAGATCTAAGCATGAAACTTACCTATCCTTGGAACAACATATTGATTTGACAAATGCCATGCCAACACAGTGGGGAGATTGTATAGACTCATTCATCTTCAGGGCTTTCATTTTCCATACCACACACTTTCAATAATCAATTGAAAAACGCATTGTCAATCCTAGATTAAGCCCTAGGTTACCAAATGGAGATATTATTACCTCAGTCAAATCTTTTTCTGAGGAAGCTTTAGAACTGGCATAAACGCTTTCCTGAGAAATGTAAAGCTATTTGACAAAGACATGTCAGTTCCAATGTCTTGATAAAAACTTTGCCTTTCCTCATTCAATTCAAGCAAAGAATACCTTTAGTAAAACCTTTCAAGCAAAAGTGGAGAATTTTGGCCTGATCAGCTAAGCACATCCATGTTCTCATTCATAAGCCATTTCTTTCAAATCAATAATTTTTCTATTCTAGAGATTTTGGCCAAGGCTATGTCTGTTTCTTATTTTGCTCATGCAGAAGCAGGAGATTTTGGCTTAAATTTAGGTTGCTTTCACCATCCATCAATTGGTCAAACTTTTCATGAGAAATAATAAAGGAGCTGACAAAACAATAACGTAACTAAATAGAGAATTGTTTCTGTTCAATGAACAAGTGATGAGACTGAACGTACCAGAATCCTGTATGATGTGTAGGACATATTTGAGGGCCTTGACGAGTTCCTCATCCTGTGCCTGGGTGAGAAGGCACACCAGCTGTTGGTAGTTCTCTGCTGACACACCGGCCAATGCACCTGGAGGAATTCAGAGAGTATGTAGACATACATCAGTACATCACCAAACCACCACCGACGTGCTGACAGCATGTCTTCATGACAGGATCTAATCCATGTATGATCTAACCAAGATTGACCTAACCCGTGAAGATCTGTGTTAGCATTGCTCTTCAGTAACCGATGCTTGTCGTAAGAGGCGACTAATGGGATCAGGTGGTCAGGCACGGTGAGTTTGTTGATGCATGTCATCGTATTCCAATTGCGTAGATTGATGCTCATGATGTCAATCTCTGGACGTCCTTGTCCAGGCTTGATGATTTACAGACCGCTGTCATATAGCTGGAATACTGCTGAGTGCAGCGTTTAACAACAATAACAATCAAGCAAAACATATATGATATAGGTGCTACTGAATGAAAGTTCTCCACCCATGACAATTCAACATACAATGTTATGAGATATTTTTTCAGTTTCAAATGTTAGTTTTACAGTTTTCCATGCATAAATTATGTGACCTACCGGAGTTGTCCTGTAGAACATGTGAGAGAGTCACCTACCGGAGTTGTCCGCAACACGTGAGAGAGTCACCTACCTGAGTTGTCCGCAACACGTGAGAGAGTCACCTACCTGAGTTGTCCTGTAGAACATGTGAGAGAGTCACCTACCTGAGTTGTCCGCAACACGTGAGAGAGTCACCTACCTGAGTTGTCCTGCAACATGTGAGAGAGTCACCTACCGGAGTTGTCCGCAACACGTGAGAGAGTCACCTACCTGAGTTGTCCGCAACACGTGAGAGAGTCACCTACCTGAGTTGTCCTGTAGAACATGTGAGAGAGTCACCTACCTGAGTTGTCCGCAACACGTGAGAGAGTCACCTACCTGAGTTGTCCTGCAACACGTGAGAGAGTCACCTACCTGAGTTGTCCTGCAACACGTGAGAGAGTCACCTACCTGAGTTGTCCGCAACACGTGAGAGAGTCACCTACCTGAGTTGTCCTGCAACACGTGAGAGAGTCACCTGCCTGAGTTGTCCTGCAACACGTGAGAGAGTCACCTACCTGAGTTGTCCTGCAACACGTGAGAGAGTCACCTACCTGAGTTGTCCTGCAACACGTGAGAGAGGGTAACCACCACCTGCAACTGTTCCTGCTGACTCAGCAGCCCTGGTGTGAGGAGCGAGAAGAGTGGACCAAACCCACACACTTCCCCCAGCTTGTTGATGTTCACCTCTGTCACAAACAAAAGTGACCTCTTCATATTGACAAACACATGGTAACGGGGACAAAAGAATCCTCTGAAGATGGTCAAAAGGCCATTCTTGATTTTCCTTCATTTGTAGCTTTCCTTTCCATCCAAAATTATGTACAAATATTTTACCCCAAATAATTATCACAGAGTTGTAGTACTTGTAGTACCATATGATATGTCTTATGAAAGAATTAAGAGCTATAAAATAAAACAGGCAGCCTCTAGGGTTATAGTTCTTCAAACCAATATTTTACACCAGATTATATCACATTCACTAAAGAATGAATAAATGATGAATTATTGACAATTTATAAGGGCAATATTACATTTTATGGACGAAAGAAACTGATATTGAACGAGGCCAGTGGCCGAGGTCAGAATCAGTTACTTGGGGCCATAAAAGATGGTATCGCCTGAATTGTGGTCAATAATTGTTTTATTACATGATATAAAAAGACAAGAATATTGTAAATTAAATAACACAAAAACTAAATCAGATGTCATGGGAAGTCACAGATGATGGTGCACAACATGCCTTGTGTTACGCTCTCGCTTGATTGGCTGAAAATATTGCTCTCCTTTGAGTCCAATGGCTTAATCACTCAGGGCAGTACCAATTTTGAATAACATGTTTTATATTTGGTCATGTGACCCTTTCTCAACCAATGAAAATGCAGATATAATTTGAAACTGTAATAACAAGGAATCAAGTGTAACATTGCTGAAGATGTGAAAATGTGTGCTGTCAAGAGTCAGGTCCACTTTTTGTCATGCATGGATTGCTAGAAAGAAAGAACTTTCAACGCAGTCTCTAATCTTACTGTAAAAGATGCTTGAATGTTGCCGCTACTTGAAAATAAAAATTTCCATCCATAAGGCCAGACACTGCACCTTACAAATGACAAAATGCTTCACAAGTATTTCTTAGTTTTAATTAGTAACAACTTGGAGGCATACGTGTAAACAATTGAAATTGAGTCTTTTCCAGGTGATGCCATGGAAACATCCAAGATGTCCAATGCAAGCCTGAAAAAGATGGAAATCTTTCACCATCCTCTCAAGGAGGTTTTTATCAGACATTCTTTGATACACAGGTACCATCTGTTCTGCTATATCTGCATCATGATGTTGACAGCATGAACAGGAGGCTCGAGACAGCCAGTGCTCTGCTGTAAAAACACCAACTTGAGTGACCAGTGGGACATCTAGTTTGATGGACGGCATCAGTGGACATACAACAAAACAAACTTGCCCAGATCACATTTCTTGTACCATCGATGTCACCAACATTGTTAGTGATGGCAAAGCAGTAATAATACTGAAATATCAAAGCCTTGTCTTTAGTGATCTTTCCTCTGCCCCTACCACCCATTCTAAACTCTGTTGACAAATTCAGAAGAGCAGTGCCCAACCCTTTTTGAGCATGGTTAATACAGTATTCCTTGTCAATATTAATGGCTGGTCCATAGGGTTGAAGGTCGTTTGACTGCCTTGTGGGCTTTGCTGTCACCTTCTGAAAGTATACATGTATAACGTACATTTTGCTTCTCCAATGAACGAGACCATAGCCTCTTAGCAGCTTCCAGTTCCATGGCATTGGGGCTACCTTCATAGTTTTGCCAACACTGTCCAGCATGTTCTTCATACCACTGTCTGAACTCTGCAGTGCCCTATCCCAGACTGGTCATGTGAAGGGCACATGCGTGACAGTATTTTGACAGGGCTTCATAATCAATCATCAGACATGTCAAAACATCGATAACTGCCCCAACACCGTAATTTGAAGTCTGGCCTTTCTTCTGCCATGATCCGTCATAATTATGTTTAAGGGTACGTCATTTGAAACAGTCTGCTCACCATAGGCATGTTTGATCATTTCTACACTCTCACTCAACTTCCTCAGTATTTTCTAAAACAACCTTTGAAAGAATGTTTTGCTTGTGCTCAAATGTCTTCACATGGAGACCTTCCATTCCAAAAACCAGACAAAACGTTTTCATTGCAGCATGACCAAGTCCTACCTCTGACCAAAAAAGCATAAAAATATCATTGACTTGAAAGGTTGATTACTTGACCTTTGTGAGGTGTAATTTTTGAGTACACACATCTGACAGTTTTGACATGAAAACATAATTTTAGCGCAAATCCAAATCTATCAAATTTGTCCCTCTTTTCAAACATCAAAGACCCCTGGTGGGCACCCAACCTCTTGAAAAAGTAAATTCACTCGCCTCAAATCAATCAGCATCCACTGAGGTTTAGGTTCATCCTTGTCAAGCACATGAATTCTGCGATTTTCAGCAGCTTTAAATTTTGAATTTTATGTCATATGTGAGAAGCTCTAATCAATGAAAATAAAGTCTCACCTTCATTATCTCCAGTGGTGATGTTTTCCTCAACAGTGCGGTCCCTGGATGATTCCGATGCATCAAAAATGTCTAAGCTGTCAGAATCTAACACAGGGTTGATCACGTTGTCAACATGTGTCTAACTCTATCACCCTATCACCCTGCTTCAACTGACTTTCCCTGCGCTCATATTCTTACATAGGTGTGTTTTGACCTGTGTTTTGAGTCATTTTCAGTCAAGAAATTACAAAAACGATGTTAACCTGTCAATCTTTTCGTTAGGCAGACGCCATTTTGTATACCTACCAGAAAAGGCAAAAGTTTTGCTACTAAGCCGAATGGTGTATTGTGGGATAACTTTGACTTGATATCCATATAACGGACGGAGATTCCCGAATGTTGCATTATGGGATATTTCTCCTTACAAGGAAGTTTTCTAATGACAGAATGACCAGCGGGAAAAAGCAAAGATATCCTTACATGGAATGTCTCTGTTTAGAATGCTGTTTTTGTGCAGAAACATGGCGGACATGATCAGGATTCTATCGATGTATAACATGAAAGGGTTCGTCACAGCTGTGGGGGCGTTGTCAAGGGTAGAAGTTCAGGTTTTTCCATGTTGATTACGAATAAATTAAAATATTATCTCACACATTATGATTCTATTAAAGGTTTTTATGATGTAACTGTACTAGACATTGAAAAAAAGTGTTGTATCACAACGTACATGTGTCTTATATACTAAGAAAATCAAAATCTTCATTTTGACTTATTGAAGCAACAATGTCAATTTAAGGTGACGTGTCTGGCCATAAGAAAACACTAATTTGCATTATTTCTTTCCCAAATTTACCATTATCCGTGAGACATGAGTCTAGTGCACCGACCACCTGCACCGCTGTTGTGAGACAGTCTTCCTCCGTGCTCCTGTTGCTCAGGTTACACAGCAGAGACCCCAGGGTGTCCAGACCCCCACACTTCTTCACCCGGTCCTGGTTAAACACTGCGAGGCAAACACATCTACACATACTACTCCAACAAACAGAAAACTGAGTTGCTTTTAACAGTTATGGCTTCTAGTTTTCGAGATCGGTTGGTCAGGCTCGCTGACTTGGTTGATGCATGTCATCGATCCCAATTGCGTGGATCAATGCTCATGATATTAATCACTGGATTGTCTGGTCCAGACTCGATTATTTACAGACCGCCGTCATATAGTTGAAATATTGCTGAGTGCGGCGTTAAACAACAAACCAACCAAATCTAGTTTTCTATTTGTAGTCTGTGTGTAGTGAGCTCATTGGATGGTTTCTACATCTCAAATATCATGATTCACAGAGATTGAATAACTGAGAGTATCCAACAGATGCCAACCAAAGTTACATTGATGTTAAATTCAAACTAATTCAACATGCATTTTTACCATTGGCACATGTGAAATTTAGCAATGTGTTCTATGTTTTTGGTATTAAGCATGAGTTTCAGGACGTTTAGTGTGCCAGTGGGTAGGATTCAGCATCCCATATGGCTTGTCCTACCATTGTTGGCCACCATGACTCCCACCAAGGACAGCACAGGACAGAGGGCCTGGGGCTCTGATACTCGCATCACGAGGCTGAAGATGTGGGGCAGCAGCGTGGAGCACAAGCGCTGGTTCTCCTCTGTAGATGGGTGAAGCAAGTCATCAATGAGATGATACTTAAGGCATTTAAACATGTTCATAAGGAAACATCATGCGACCTCAATGCAAACCTTGACCCAAGACACTACCTTATTAATGATGCAATGTCACATATGCTTGCATGGCCAGGACATTACATGATCCAAACACTTCATGTGGTTCCACAAGCCCTTTGTTTCATTAAAATATCTATTTCAAAAAACAAACATTAGGCTTAAAAAAATAATAGAATTTGTTCTCAGGCAATGGCTTTTGAAAACATTGTTCAAGCTAGCATGTAACCAAATTTTGATTACAATAATTTCGGCGAAATCATGTTGTTCTTAAGTATTGTTGTATTTCTATGCCAGGGTCATGTGTTTGAGATGCCAAATATTTAAAGATTTAAAAAAAAATAAAAATGGAAAAAAAACACACGAAATGTGCGGCAGACTTTATGATGATGCGAGCAGTGCCTGAGAATCAAGACTTCTTTTTTTTTTTTCCTTAGCGTTGGTCATAAGAAATAAATTAACAACATATGTCACTGAAGAGATTCTTTAAACATATGGACAGTTAGTGAAAATGAAGAAAAGAGAACTAAAAGAAACTTTCAGTCAGGTAAGCCAAACATTGTACCAGGTATTTCTTCACAGGAGAAAGAATGATGCAAACTGATGGTATTGATTTTTATTCCTGACTGGTCGTCTTGTTTTTTTCTGCAATAAAATTGTTAATGTGAGTTGAAATGGCCAGGTTTGGTGATGGCGATGATCACACTGAAGGAAATGCTCACCATTCTGCGGGTTGTTGATGCTCACACTGAGGGCACTGGTGACGAGACCAAACTGCCGGGCCTCAGTGATGACGCTGCTACCACTGCTCACCAATTTCCTGAAACATCACAAAGAATACCAGCAAGATGTTGTGAATATCATTATGTATTGTTGGCATGATAAATTGAACTTGATTTTTTAATTGCTACTGCCACAGAGGCACCTTTTCTTTATGCTTTAATTATTGACACACATACAGACCATAATCCTAATTTCAGCAATTGTTTACAAAGATAATTTTTCCACAGCAAGGCCATATGAGTCCACAGGCATAAAAGAACCCCATTCTATAAAGAATGATTAAAGGCTAACTAAAACTTTCAATGTTCCAACTTTTCTTTACAACCAAACCCGGGCTTGATTTAAAGAACTTGATTGAACTTGCATTGTGACATGAAAATCAAGCTGCCTCAAACAAGACCAGATCGTAACTCCCATACTTTAACATAGGCTTTGTGCAAGTGGGCCCTGCAGGTCTCATAAATTAATTAAAGTTGAAACATAGGCCGGTCACCTGCCGGTGTCACAAATTAATAGCACATTGCTGTAAAACAAAATAGGAACATGTGCATAACACTGCATATAATCTTGAAGTACCCACAGTGTGATGACGTCAAACCTAAGAAAGCATGACAAATTACACATAATGTAGGGATTAGAAATGTAGTGTGATAGTAAACGTTTGAGGTATTATGTGTGTTCAAAGATCGATTTTGTGTGGACCAGAAAGGGTTAGTCAGACACTTCAAATTTATTGACAGGCACTCGGAGCATGTAGACATAAATATTAGGTTGCATTTTTCAATAATAGATTGCACTTGTGCTGTTTTATATAGATAGATCGAGCCCTGCAAACTTATCTTCAGATAAAGCCCAAACTCAGCACAACCATACTGCGTGTCTTGAAAAAGAATAAAGACTTGTGTTTCAATTGCTATGTGATCTTGCTGTGTATTGCAATATTCTATTGTTTTTTCTTCTTTTAATATTTACCTTAAATAACAAGAAATATGTACCTTGAATAGCAGGCTTTCATCATTTCCTTGCCTGACTTTTATGTAATTTGTAAGATACAAATAATACAAATATTCTTTCCGGCGCGTCAGTGATAAGACTGTATAACAACACTATACTGCAACTATTCCCTAAAAGACATCAAGAATTCCTTCAACACTTCTGTTGAAACCTTACTAATTTTCCATTATTGGCCAAGAACAAAGTGAACTAGTCAATGTTGTACATTGTTTGAGTTGTTCATTGCAAGTGTATTTGGTATGTTGAGACCATTTGTATATTAGTGACAGCCAGTTGAACGTGATAGGGCTCAAAATGGACACAGAAATCGAAAAGAAGGAGTACCAAACAGTCATCAAGTTTTTTACTTTGGAGAAAAGAACTCCTCAAGAAATTCAGGACAGCATGTCACAAACATACAGGGATAAGTGCCCTAGCTATTCCAAGCCTTGGTGATGACCCTAGGTCCAGACGTCCCTCAACTTCCATCAATGAATTACCATTGCTGAAGTTAAAGAAGACACAGATCTAAGCCATGTATCCACTGAAACTATTATTCATGAACATTTACAGATGAACAAGAAATCTGCTCATTTAGAGCTAATTGAGGAGGATTTTGTCAAATTCAAAACGAGATTAGTAACGGCTGATGAAACATGGGTCTACCGCTATGATCCTGAGTAAAAACGTCAATCCATGGAATGACACCATTCCACTCTCTTCGGCACCATAGAAATCCAAGTCTTCAAGATCAGTGAAGAATGTTATGGCGACTGTTTTCTGGGGTGCAAAGGGTGTGATCCTTGTTGCTTACTTAGAAAGTCAGTAGACGATTACTGGTGCCTACTATGCTGATTTGCTTCATCGCCTGGGAGATTCTATCAAAGAAAAGTGGCAAGGACTGCTGACTGCTGGAGTTCTACCACTTCATGACAATGCCTCTACTCACACCTCTCGACTTGCAAAGGTTGTTGTGCGAGCATGAGGGTTCGAAGAGCTTTCGCACCCTCCATACTCGCCAGACCTTGCACCAAGTGATTTAGACCTGTTATCGTTACTGAAAGAACACCTTCATGGAAAGCGCTCTGACGATAACAATGACCTCAAAGCTGCTGTGAATGTTTTTTTCAGGCTGACTTCAGAAAACTGAGAATTCAGAGAATTGAAATGCTTCACTATCGATATGAGAAGTCCATTGAAAAGCAGGTAGATTATGTCGAAAAATAAAATTAAAAACACTTTCACAGCTGTTGGTTTTGTTTGTTAGGCTTAGAAAGTTTTGACCAGCCCTCATAATAGGTTCATGCCATGTTTACATATGATATATGCCCCTGCTCATCTTGACCTTTGACAGGAAACACCTAAACCTTTCTAAATGGAAATGTGGTAGACATGTATATTCTCCAAGGATTATGTATATTTATACATTCATCCATGGTAATTTGCTGAAATTTGTCAAAACTTAAATTTTCTTCTTATTTCCAGGCCTAAGCCATACACCTCCAATGACAACTAGCGGAAACTGATCACCATAGAACAAACACTCCTACAAAACACCATGGTACCAGTTCATGAAACAACACTAAACTGAATCCCAGTATGGAATATTTGTGCCATATATCCTTGAATATAATTACAAACTGTATATCACATTTGTGAAACACAATACATTTATCAATGGCATTATTAATTCCATAAATTCACAAATATATAACAGGCTGTCAGCCACATGTCTGGTGCAAAGCACTGGAAGTATTGAGGAAAAAGAACCCATTTACACTTTCAACCAAGGGTTAATTGCATTTCTGGAAAAAGTAGCTAGACTGTGTGCCATAGCTACTGTACCTGAACATGCCCATGAGGTCTGCCAGACAACCAGACTCCCTCGCTTCATTCTGGGATTGACCTGCAACACACAGTTTCTCTTATCAGCATGCACAGTACATTTGTGGGTACAGAAGCTCACTATTACTGTGTCAGGGCTCCAGATACTGTTTTCAGCCATAGAGTGTTTACTCCTATTATCATCAACACTGGGTATTGATAGTTTTCTTCAGGCATATATATATATATGTCACTCCCTTGTGTCTAGACTACTATCAATCAGCACACCTTTTTTTGAGCAATTCTGTTTACTCAGATTCAGGGATGGGTATTGGGGGTTTAAAGTATATCACAATATCTTGCAATGCACAAGGTCGTATTGTGATACGTATCACAATATATTGTATAATTCCAAATTTTTAAATCAGAAGCAATCTGATACATTAAGGTGTGAACCGAAGTTCATAAATGGAACAAAATAAGATGCCAGTACAACATAATGTTTACTCATTCAATAAATACGCAGCCATCTTGGGGCCCCGAATGATCACTCCTGGGCAGCGGAGGCATTTGGCAAATATATAATATTAAACACATGATAAAAATCCCAATTTGAAATCACATACATATTGAGCATGAAACAGTGATATTGTGATATGTACCTTGGAAAGAATGAACCTCAGTTTACTGATATACCAGTAATACCTCATTCGACGTAATAAGCGCTGTCAAAATTTGAAATAGAGGGCTCTTATTAGATCATTATTTTGGAGTTGAAAGATAAATTTCGTGGTTTATGCTGACAGCCTGAAATGTTTATGTAGGACAGATATATTTTTCCAGAATATAATTGCCAATAATAAAGGGTGCATATAACACACGAGTGCGTCTTATACGCGAATAGGGGTCGGAAGGGGTGCTAATTGGGATTATTCACTCGCCAGTATATATTAGCAAATTTCAATGTGGGCGCTTATTAGAGTGGGGTGCTTATTACATCAAATACGGTACTACTAATTTGCATCTGTTCATGTTCTGCTCCAAATATGTCACAAGTCCAAGTTACAAGAAGCCAGACTTAGAACTTTTGTATATTATTCACTGCAGGAGACTTCATGTATATGTTATCCCTGCATTCGATCAACAAATAATATGTACAGTCAGACATTCTGGCACGCCAGCTGGAAAGGCAACATTTGGGTCTTTACATTTGGGTGTTATTATGCTCTTGAAATCTTTTATGTATATATATACGAAAGACAAAATTATTTGGGTAATGGCGATCTATTATGATATTTTATGCAAATACGCAGATTAGGTGGAGCTCTTTTGTGTATTCTACTATGTTGTACTGATGCTGCCATTAGCAAAAACATTTACAGAGACTGAGAAGTTGAATTTGGCATGATGACTCTATCAATTTCCTTGAAAAGATTTGTTTGTTTGTTGTTTAACGCTGCACTCAGCAATATTCCAGCTATATGATGGCGGTCTGTAAATAATTGTGTCTGGACCAGACAATCCAGTGACTGACATCATGAGAATCAATCCATGCAATTGGGATACGATGACATGCATCAACCAAGTCAGCGAGTCTGACCACACGATCCCATTAGTCACCTCTTACAACAAGCATAGTTGCCTTTTACAGCAAGCATGAGTTGCTGAAGACCTATTCTACCCTGGATCTTCACCTTAAAAAGAAATTAAGGTTCAGATATTTGTGCAGGTGTCCAATATCTTCCCTGGTTGTCAATACATGTGCAGATGGAAGATGACTAAATCCAAGGATCACCTCACTTTACACCAACCATTTACACATGGAGGAAATTGCCTGTATATATTTAAGCTATCCTGATACTGATGAAAAAACATGACCTACTATTGTTAGCAACAAGACACAGCAGCAAAAAGACAGCAGCCTGTCGAAGTTTGTCTGAGGATATGACACTATGAAGACTGTCATGGATGACACGGAACACACCATGCTGGGTTAGAAGTGTCTGGGAAAATACTGAAACAGAAGCAGAGCAGTGAAGAATGAGTGCATTTGAAGCTTCTATCTGAGCCTATTGTCACTGATGAGTACTAGACCACACTAAGATCCACCACAGAAAGCAACTACACCAATGATCCACCACAGGTGTGTCTTATCATTAAAAGTTGAGTGTGCTAAACAATATCTGATTTTCGTTAGGGTCTTTACAAAATTTGTAATTTTTATTACAATACGTCAATGTGCAAGAAAATGACCCAATCTGAAACCCTGAAATTGAGATGGAACTGTAACAGAATATTTTTTGTAAAGACAATGTCTTCTTCAGATGACAACTCTGATCAAGCCTTAACCGAGTCATGTAAAGGCTCCATATCTCATCAGACAAGTATACGGAAACATTCCCCACCAAAATAATTCCAAAATTCACTTCATGTTTGGGACATATATCTAGTTTGTTTCTTTGTTGTTTAAAGCTTCACTCAGCAGTATATCTGCTATAGGATGGCTGTCTGTAAATCATTGAATCTGGACCAGACAATCCAGTGATTGATATCATGAGCATATATCCACGCATTTGGGATACAATGATATGCATCAACCAAGACACTGAGCCTGACCACTCGATCCCATTAAGTTGCATCTTACTGGCTGGCTAAAAACAACCTGAAATGTGTCACTTACATGTGTACACATATGAATAACAGCTTTTACAGAGTCAGTCAGTGATGCGCTTCAACCAGTTTTTCACTATTATCACGGCATGTTAGCTTAACGTGGGAAGAAAGCCAAAAATGATGCACGTCTTAGACGTTTACCACTTTGTCAAAACCCATGAGCTGATTCATAATCTGAGCAAATCAGGGAGTACAATCATTGGATTCTGGTACGAATACAGTATACAGCATATTGCAGTGCCTTAGATGACTGGGGCACCTATGGTCCCTGGGGAAACTGAAGTTTGTCATTATTGCTAAATGCTAAAGTCATCATACCATTTTTTTCTGTAGCTGATGCCAGACAGAACAGAGTAGCAATCTTGATATTTGGGAAGTCAGTTCTCCGTAGTAGGTCATATAGATAGAGCAGACCTCCACTCTCACGGACATAGTCCTTAGCTTCATCTAAATTATCAGCAAGTGTGAAGGAAATTAGTCATTGCTGCAGACTGCCACAGCCATTTTAAATCACACAAAATATCAGAATCTGAAAATGGATCTCATAACATGATGTAACAAAGGCAAGAAAAATAATCGTGGTTACAATAAGATGAATCTTAAACATGTTGAAGCGTGTATCAGTCAATTGAGGATTTTCACTTTTATTTACACCACATATTAATACATTCATGTAAAATAGATGACAAAATGCATTTGTTGAGAATACTGTTTGGGCATGTTGGATTGACAACAGGAAATCATTGTTGTTCTGTTAATGCCTTTTTCAGCCTGTTCAGCAACAGACATTTTTTTCCAAATGTTAATGTCAATATTTAAGTCCAGTTATTCCATGATAAAGACACTGTTCTACGCATCATGTTGTTCAGAATTTGGACTGTAATACAGTGTATGTACCTGATGAAAAGAGACCTGACAAGGTCATAAGTGACTGATGAAGAGCAGTGGGACTTTTCAACTGACATTTCACACACTCCAGAACCACATCAATATCAGATCTTATTTCTGAAACAAAGAAGTCAAGTTACAAAAGTCAGGTTTTTTATATATATTGCCACGTCCCCAAGTCCATGTGCAGGCTTATAAGTGTTGGATAAATATTTGTACTTGATAGTTGCAGGGATAGAAATTCACCAAGAAAATCTTTTAGCCTCAATTGTAATAACATGGGAACCACAGGAACTTGTCATTGGTCAGTGAATAAAATATGTATTCCCTATATGTAAGCTTACATATAGGGGATACATATTTTATATACTGACCAAGAACAAATTTCTGAGATAAGAACCAATGAACATAAAATGTTTGAAATTTATTCCAGCCCTTAGGATACCTTTTACATGAGGGAAACTGGGTTGGGCTGGATGGCATGTGTTAATATGTATCCCTTAGTGGTCCAGCATTGTCAAGTTTGTTTGTTTGTTGTGCTGCACCCAATAATATTCCAGTTTGTAAATGGACTGGACAATTCAGTGATTGATATCATGAGCATTGGTCCATGCAAATGGGATACAATGACATGCATCAACCAAGTCAGCGAGCCTGACCACCCCATCCCCTTAGTCGCCTCTTACAACAAGCATTTTATGGCAAGCATGGGTTTGCTGAAGACCTATTCTATCCCAGATTTTCACAGGTAGCATTGTCCAGTGATCAGTATGTTCATTAACAATAACTGAGAGGAAAACATTCCTTCTATTTTGCAGTATTACTCTTAATACTGAAACCTATCTGAAGTGAGGCCTAGGTACGTGACCATACTACGCTTACCTGCCATGTCTGCACAATTACATCAAGTGTCCATCTGCTTCTTGTGGAATGTATCTCTGTAAATATAGAACAGGTGTAAACTATCAGCTGCTTTTTATAACAACAATGTGGTTTGTCCAGTCATCAATTACAAAATGACGTCATCGTTACTAATAGTGTGAGGATACATTGATATATTTGAATACAGAATCCTATTGCAAAACAAGTCTTATTTTCAAGGGCCTAATAATCAAACAACATGTTAATGCATGTACATATGGTCAAGGTTTTTTTTCTGAGAGGTTCCATTTCTGGACTCTCTAGCTACTATTCTAATTTCTTTGAGTGGCATTTAGAAGTTGGAGTGATAAAGTAAGACGAGTTCTATGGATGAACAACTTCTTTATTACAATTGGTGCGACGTTTCGGTGTAGATCCTAACACCTTTATCAAGCAAGTGATCACTTGCTTGATAAAGGTGTTAGGATCTACACCGAAACGTCGCACCAATTGTAATAAAGAAGTTGTTCATCCATAGAACTCGTCTTACTTTACTATTCTAATGCCTATCAGCAATAATTCAGCAACCTGAATAATCAAATCAGTAAACCAGTGAATGACATTATAAGCTGACCAAAATATTGCACTACAGTGATGAACATTTATTCACTTGATATTCAAGAGAACTTTGAATCTGACAATAGACAAGCAAAACACAAAACATACTTGACCAACACTAAAACATGCAGCAGGGTTTCAGATGGGATAATTTTCTGGGACATTGATTCATCATAATCAATACTGTCAAATGGACTTTTTTTTTAATTTGGTCATGACAAAGAAGAACGTCTTATTAAAATTTGATAAAATCATGAAAATGTCCTGATGCCATTTGTTTCTAGCTACAGATTCTATTCCCGACTTAGATCAGACTTCCTGGACGAGTGGAGTACATGTATCTTCTTGCCTTTGAGTTCATGTCCAAAAATGTTTGATTTGCTAACTATTGAAAAAAGCCAAATAGTCAGCACAATAATAGTAGGATATCTGGCTCTTCATGAAAATTTTGCATGTAAACTGTTCAAAATTAAGCCTCAAGAAGTCCTTGTCATAACCCTTATGTTGAAAGTTGAACATTTAAGGGATCCCTTGATTAAAAGTGCCAGGATGTCGACTGTTCTGAAGCACTGTTTGCAAACAATAGCCGATAACCCCCAAGCATACTCTGCTCTGCCCTGATTATTCCATGAGAGAAGTTTCAGCTCCAGTGACAACACCATAGGAGTAGGCTCATCAGCAGGTCAGGAAGCGCTTCTTTCTGGGGAATACCCCTGCCTTGTTTGGCTTCATATGAACAACATGTTTATTTTGTAATCTAGGCTATGACAAAAACTGGATTCTAATCCAATAAAGCTTGCAATTAGTATTTTGTAACTCATCCTTAAGAAAAGGACACAACCTTTCTCTTAAATTTGCCTCTAACAAAAACATGGCCGAAGCTAGTTTCTTCTGCGCAGCACATGGGTTGTCGGCTTCACTGTGTAGAGCTATAGTCTGACATCACACTCAGAAATTATTTCATGCATGATTTTTTATCACCCAGAACCGTTGATGTGCTGGCCCTTAAACACCATGGGAGAAGTCGCCAAGGACCCCAGGAACCCCCTTTATTTCCAACACTGATTTAGTATTGTATACAATATAAGCCAGTTTTAGAAATTGGCACTAGTCCTATAGTCCTTGCCAAAGTGCCCAATGGTAAAGGTATCATAAGGACTAGTAGAAATTTGTCCTTTTTAAGGGTTTTGCTATATGTTATCATTATAAGGACTAGTGGACAAAAACTGTTAGTTTCTAACCCTGTAAGCATAATCTGTTCTCTTCATGCAATTCTGTCACCACTGTACAATCGGAAGATCAATACAAATAAAAACACAAACAATAGAGATGTCTTTTCACTTGATATCATTTGTGTAAAAAACAGTCTGTATTTTCTGCATCTGTCAATCCAAAACTATTCTTCAAAGATCAATGACCTTAAAAATAATTATTTGCATAATCGTAAGTTGATAATGATATAGTCCAGTACATTGCCTATTGACTACAAAATATACTGACACCTACGATACACAATACAATTATTTAATTCATGCTGTGCCCGTACATTGTTGAATACAAAACGTAGAATGCAATTTTGTTCAGAAAGGGGAGAGACCGGCAAAACAATATCAGTTCTCTTAAAATCTAAATGTGTGAACATTGTTCGTTATGCATAAGAATTAATTCTCATGCTACTATTCCTTATCGAATCAACAAATTATCAAACTTAATTATCAACTGTCTGCAGAACATAACATTCACTACATTCACTTGATTCCCTTGGAAACGAACGTGTAGATCTGTCAGGCCTGCTTCTGTGTTCTTCTCTGTTTTTTTCTTTCTTCTACCATATTAGACTACAGGTAAGACCTTCAGTATGAGCCGGACACTTCACAATACAATTCACGTAAATGTGTCATACCTGTCTCACTGTATGATTTCACTGAATGTAATGCGTACCACTTGAACTTCGCCCTCGGTGCTCTTCAGACGACTTCCGGTTCCACAGTTCGGCAAATATCCTTGACAATTGGAACGTACGAACAAGTTTTAGTATATCTCTGTGACCGTTGTGCGTGAATGCGGAGCATTTATAATAGACTATGTCGTTGTGCTTTGATGTTGATGTTAATGGCAAAATATAAGAAAAAGTTATGTTGTGTCTTTGTAGTTTGTCTGAAAGCCGTTTTAAAACAACTTTATATCTTGAATTTTTAAACTGGTTATAAACATGTATAAAAACACATAACTTTTGTCTCAAATGGTGAGTTTGGGTGAGTTTAAATTTAAGTCGCATCGGCACTATTGCAGCCATATCGTGACTATCAAGTGGTAAACATGCTAAATATTTTGAAACTTATATAAAAACCTGCCAACAAAGGACAGTAAAACAACTAGACCAATCACAGAAAAAGATATAAAACTAGTATGTAATTTTGTTTAAAGTATAGCACTATACATAGCAATAACATAATAAAAACGGGCTAGAGATCGACATCCTCTGAAGGTATATCACCATACGGGGAGCCATGGGGACTTACAGTACCTTTGCTACCTGCATGGACCCCAGGAGGATTTACACCATCCCTTCAGTAGCTGGCGAGTGTACGCAATTTAGCCATCAGTTAAAAGAAACGAATATAAAAAAGTAGTTCGAATATACATACTTTCAGGATGTGGTTTTACGTATACTCTCAGGGGGACAATAATTTTACACTACTTCAACCCCCCTTGAGGATATAGCCACTAACCATCAAAGTTACAGAATAAACACTACCAATATTATAAAAAATAACTATCTACACAATTAAAAAAAATTCAATAAGTTCTATTTCTTTTAAAACTCCTATAATTAAATGACAACTAATACTTTTTAAAAGATCCTTAAGAGATGATGATTTGAAATATGTATCCCTTGTGATAGAAAAATCAATACAGTCAAGCAGGACATGCTTGACTGTGATTCTCTCATCACAAGGGATGCAAAATGGAGGATCCTCACAATTAAGTAAATATTCGTGTGTATATCTGCTATGGCCACTGCGACATCGTTGCATAATGACCTCTTCAAATCTGGACTGACAGCCCAAGTAGGTGTAACCGATATTTGGTTTAATTTCATGTAATTTATTGATACCTACCTGGGTGTCCTACTTCTGTTGCATCAAATCTCGGATGTAACATCTGATGAGAGGTTTGATGTCGGTGTATGGGATACGAAGTGGTGTCACAGATTTGGTGAGTGCTGCTTTTGCAGCAGCATCGGCCATTGTGTTCCCAGTGATTCCAACATGGCTGGGTAACCAACAGAAAACGATGTCGCATGGGCCAGTAGCAAGATCATTCAACAATTCAACAATTTAAATGGGCTGCATGCAATTCTAGATATATACTGAACCAAATTAAAAACTTCACAATCCTAAATTTTTAACATTTTTAAATGTTAAACTTTTTAGGCCCTTATTGTGTATTTAAACATTAATGGCCACGTATTGTCTTCAGATAAAACCCGTTTTTGTGCAGGTGAATCGATCAAAATCATGTGCACAGCACTATAGTGGCAAAAGTGTTTTTTCACGTGCAACTGGTCGCGTAGCCACAATACCGCACGTGTTTTCAGCCATACTGCTTAGCAGTTATTAACAAAAAAAGAAAAACACAAGAAAACAAGAGTCTTTACGGCCATTTCTCATGCCACGCCTTTCAAATGTGCAACGTGAACGTGCCATCGGCATGTTGCAGACGGGAACGTCCGTAGCTGAAGTCGCAAGGACGATGGGTTGTAGTCGACGGACTGTTTATGATTTACAGACGCGTCTACAGCAAACGGGTACCACCGCTGATCGTCCTCGGCCAGGTCGACCACGTGTGACGTCACATGCAGAGGATCGTCAGATTGTTTTACGTCACCTCCGATTTTTGCACGTTCCATGGCAGGCTTCTTGTCATCCGTGGCAGCCTCAACGCTGCTGCTTACCGCGACCAGGTACTGGCACCAGAACTTCTGCCTTTTATGGCAGCACATGGACCCGGTTTGATCTTCCAACACGACAATGCCAGACTCCACACAGCAATTTTGACAAGGAATTTCCTTAAGAATGGGGGAGTCAACGTCATGGACTGGCCGTCAAGGTCTCCCGACCTCAATCCCATGCATCGAACACGTCTGGGATGCTCTTGGCAGAAGTCTGCACACTCTCCAGAACCAACCACAGAGTTTGCAAGATCTTAGCACCATTTTGCAGCAACAATGGCGTCGTCTTCCCAATCATTTGTTCACAAGCATCACAAGGTCCATGCGGAAGCGTTGTGTGGCAGTTGTCAACGCACATGGTGGCCATACACGCTTCTGAACTTGTGTGCCATCAGATTCTCGTGCTTGGGACTTATGATTTAAACTGTTGATGTTATTACCGAATACCGTAGGTGCTTGGAACCAATTATGGTTACCACCGTTAATTAAATCCTTCTTTGGACATTAATGATTAAAAATTACCTTCTCTGATACATTTGTCCGTTGTATATCATATATGGGATAACTTTTAAAAATGTAAAGTTTTTAATTTGACTCAATATATTTAAAAAATAAAAAAAAGGAAAGAAGAGAAACAGATGATGCAAACCAAAGGTAATATGTTTATTTACCCTAAAGTCTTTATTTTCTGGGTTGTGTTATTCTTTTCCAGTGATTGATATCGTGAGCCTCTATCTATGCAATCAGGATACGATGACATGCATCAACCAAGTCAGCTATAGCCTGACCACACCATACCGTTAGTTGCCTCCTACGACAAGCACAGTCGCCTTTTACGGCAAACATGGGTTGGTGAAGACCTATTCTACCCCGGATCTGCAGGGGTCGTACGCTAAGTTAAGGACATGTACTAGCATACGCAAGTGGGTCCACTGTTTCAGATTCAGCCCGTTTGTTAGTTTTAACTATTTATTTACTTCTTGACGGGAGTTGTATATCTGATCAGAATTAATAGTTGCTCATTCGGGGAAATAACTACATATCGGCGTCGACTAAGCCTGTGTTACCCATGCATATCTAGCAGGACGTGGAGTCATCCCACAGATGACAGCTTGTTGACGGGGTTAACCTCTTTGGTCATGTGGTCAGGCGTCCGACCTCTGATCAGAAGGTCCGTGGTTCGAATCCCATCACGGGACTCGGAAATTTTATGGCCGCTACATTGGCGCCTATCCCGGTGTACTTTCTATATAACATTTCTCGGGAATTCTTTCGCATAAATATGTCGCTCTTAACCATTTTATTTTAAAAGAATATTCAACCTTCTTGTAATTTCTAAAGAGATGAAGCTTCATTTAAAATATATTTGTAACTATTCCACCGAGTAAAATGATAATTGTTTGCATACAGAATATATTAGTCTTAACGTGAAAGAAAGTATGGAATGATATTTTGTAGGGTTCATTGTACCCAAAACTCAAATATTATCAGAGATTAAAACATCAAATAGTTATCTCGTGACCAGTGAAGATCCGGGGTACAATAGGTCTTCAGCAACCCATGCTTGTCGTAAAAGGCGACTTTGCTTAACTTCTTTGATGGGCGTTTAGAAGTTGGAGTACGAAGTAAGGATAAGAATTTATGGATGAACAACTTCTTTATTACGATTAAGAGCGACATTTCGGTGTAGGTTCTAACACCGTTATCAAGCAAGTGGCATACAGAGTGTGGTTGACAAGTGTATATAGAGGTAGGGGGCAATGTTTATTCAGTAGCGTAGATATCAGATGTAGTTATACTGGAGTGGAGAACCTGTTATGTACACACAAGGGTAGTGATGACAATCATCGGTGAAGTCAGTGACATAAACAAAGAATGAAGCCAGTAATATAAACAACAGGATTATGGCTGATTGGGGTCTTTGATGGGTTGATGGTACGCCGGGGTATGTAATAGCCTTGGTCACGGTTCATTGACGGTTGGAGTCTTTTGATGTTGATTGCTTCTTGTAGTTTCCTGATTTTGAAGTCTTTGAGGTTGGTGGTGAGGGCTTTGACTTTATCCCACTGAATGCTGTGGCTTGGGTTGTCACGGATATGGTCTGATAGAACTGATTTAGAGTCATCTCTGGAGACTGAGCTTTGATGTTCTTTTAATTCGGGTTTTGAGGGGCCTAGATGTTTCTCCTATGTAAGCTTGTCCACAATTGCATGGAATGTGGTACACTGCTCCTGATGGTTCTAGCTTGTGGCTGGATGGTGGTTTCCCTGTGGCTTTTATTGTGTTCTGAATGGTATGAATTCTCTTGAAAACTACATCAATGTTGGCCTGTTTCTTTAAGAGTCGAGACAGATTGGTATTTTCATTCTGTACTTCAAGTTCACAAAGGAAACAAACAATTATCTTTTAACCAAGAACTCATTTTTCAGAACATCCAGCTTTTTAGGGGACGATTCTTTAAAAATTTATACGTGAGAACAAATCACATTTTTTCCACGATTTTTAAGAACAGATTTTTTTAAATTACCAGAAAGTAACACATTGTTCCACTGTCTCGACAGATCCTGGAATAAACGCTGAGTGTATTCGTGTGCGAGGGTCCCCAGGCGTGTAGTCAGTGCAGGCAGACGGTGGGTTTTCAAATGGCACATGGTTTGACGTGCTATAACATTCAGGCGTTTATTTACGGATTTATGGTACACATTTACAAACCAACACGCGTGTCTGGTTACGTAATGGTTTTGTTCGTCACAAATAAGCTTATATATTTTTATTAAAGTATCGACAAAAACGTTCTTGTAATAATTAGTATGTGAGTGCCCTTGAATTATAGTTCTCATGAAAACTATACCGTTTCCTTGAAAATAAGTGAGGTAAGGTGAAATGTTTATAGCCACATCGGACCTCTATATAGCGTGTGTGTACGCGCGTGTGCGTGTGCACATGACTAAAGCCGGTTTCATAGTGTCAGCCAACTGAAACTCCATGCCGCAGTTTAACATGAATACCGACTCAGACACAATTTACTGACTCCGAGTCAACCAGTCTTTGTTTTATCCCCTGATGTCGAGCGCCAAAGTAAGAATTGATCTTCATGAACCCATGCTTGTTAGTCGTCAGTGGCGACTAACGGGACCGGATGGCCAGCCTCAGTGACTTCCAAATCGTATTCCAAATGCGTGGGTCGATGCTCAGGTTGTTAATCACTTGATTATTTACAGACCGCCGTCACATGGCTGGAATAAAAACAACATACAATATATGCAGGGCGTGAAAAGTTAATTCGTTCACATTCACTGTATTTCTCTTTTTTTCAATTATCTTACAACGATTTTTGATTAACAAGGACATGACAAACATTGTAAGTATAAGGTAGATATTTGAGGAACACTGACACTCATTTCGGAAGTCAGCGAAAAGCATTACAGTGTGTGTGTCGGAGTGTAAATGACTGGCGGACGTTGAAGATTTTATTATCGCTTCTTGTGGTACCTACATTCGCACTGCGACAAAGCTTGCTTTTATTTTCATTTTTTATTATAGTCTTCAACTGATCCAAACACTTTTCCCTAAAATACTCGGGCGAGATAAGCCATTTCAACCAGAATAGACCTGTAAAGATCCGGGGTAGAATAGGTCTTCAGCAACCAATGCTTGCCGTAAATGGCGACTATGCTTGCTGTAAATGGCGACTATGCTTGTCGAAAGTGGCGACTAAGGGGATCGGGTGGTTAGGCTCGCTGAGTTGATGCATGTCACCGTATCCCAATTGCGTAAATCGATGGTCATGATGTCATGGTGTTATACAGACTCCTCGGACAAAGTTTATCCCTTTCATAGAAAAACAGCGCTCTACTTTGAAACATTGACTGAAAAAATATTTTACCTCCAACTAAAATACCCGAAAAACAGATGCAGCTTTGAGGTAATTGCACAAAAAGCCCTGTCGAATGGTAACTTGTCTGCTTATTTTGGTCAACTTTGAAGTAAGTCTGTATTTTCGAAACTGAAATTAGTTGACAGACAATCTACTTTTGTTAAAATTCTGGGTAGAAATGAAGTCACTTGAAAGAAACGGGTAAGATCTTTCGTAGCTTTCGTTGACTGCTGTAACACCTGCTTATATCCATCCGTGAACATCCAGTGTAGAATAGGTCTTCAGCACCTCATGCTTGTCGTAAGAGGCGACTAACGGGATCGGGTGGTCAGGCTCGCTGACTTGGTTGATGCATGTCATCGTATCCCAACTGCGTGGATGATGTCTCATGATGTCTATAACTGGATTGTCTGGTCCCGACTCGATTATTTACAGACCGCTGTCATATAGCTGGAATAATGTTGACTGTGGCGTTAAAGAAACAAACAAATGCAGTTAAAATGGGCCGACCATCCATTCATTACAATAAGTTGTAAGCTGATCGTATTGTCGTTATGGGCAACTGCTCTTGCACGTGCAGCTCGTGCTATAATGCCTCCGAGGTGGACGGTGTGTTTACTGTGTGAACAGATGTGTATTTCACGCTGATTGGTCCAGTTGTCGATTCCACCAGCATTCGTCTCCACTCGCCCCTTTCCGTGCTTGTCCCGGAATAACACGAGTTGGTCACGAATGTTCCACCAGGTGGTATTCTTCAAGATTGAGGTAGGGACCCTTTACATATCTTGACCTATCACAACAACACGTTGAAGGTTTCAACCGTTTTAATACATGACAGAAAAAAAAACATGACAAATAATTTACAATAACACCCACGATATACAGATGAGAGACATAGAACCATGCTTCTTCATACACTGACAATGGATTTCCGATCAACATATATATCCGGCCATTGTTTACTTGTTTGCTGACATTTAATAGCAATAGAGTAGGTATTTGAATTTCAACCAAAAAAAAATCATTTCGTTTTTTTTATAATTTGAACTGATATAAATTTTTTTACCCTTGTAACATTTCATTTGTGAGAGAGTATTTTCCTTCCTTTGTAAATTATTGAACATGTTGATGGATATTTAATTACTGAAATATATTTGAAGACTCGGAGGGATGAAACAGATTTCTTATAATCTTAATTTTATTCATCATGTGAAAAATTAGGCAGCAGATAGTGAAACAAGTAAACGACCCAGGAGATTCACTTAAGTTTACTCATCAGCAGTGAAAGTATTCCACCACACACCACATATTCCCGTCTCAGACTGAACCATAGCTCCATCTTGAACCACGTCCAAAGCACTTGTCTGACAAATCAACCCAAATTCACTGAAGGACAATATCCAACAAAATAAGTTATGTCTTTAGGAATGTCAGTCTTTCTATTTTTTTCAGTCACATTCAGACCAAGGTTAGCATTTAGTTCGATTCAGATGCACAAAATACCCACGTGACAAAGTCTGAAAAAGTGGGTGCTGTCAACATGGGATCCATTTCAAGTCCCTGGATTCACTGAATCATCTTCTGGTCACTGGATTCACTGAATCATCTTCTGGTCACTGGATGCAAGGAATCACATTCAAGTCGGTGGATGAACTGAATAACATTTAGGTCACTGAATCACATTCTCGTCTTCAGCACACCACAAGCACAATTTGGGACTGTTTACGTTAAATGAAACAAAATATACAGAAGGAACAATTAAAAATCCATGTTCGTCACCTCCTGTGAGAATCCTTGCAGAACTTGATCCATTGAATGACCTCACCAAGTCTTTTAGAAAACATTGTCTTAAATAAATTATAGGTAGCGTCTTTCTGAACGGCATCAATGAGAGGCTCGTACGTCCTGGCGTAATGCTCGAGCACCTCGTGGGGGCTGATGCTGCCGTGGAGCTGGTACAGAGCGTCGACGAGGGACTTCTGAAAGATGCACATCGCCTGCAGCATCTCCTTGTGGAAATGGAGGAAGTTGTCGCCGTTGCTGCCGCTATGGTACAGGAGGTCGTATGCGTCAAGGAGACCGCTCTCGTTATCTATCAACCAGAGTTTTCCCGTTGTTGTAGATTTACGAAGGTTACGAATGTCATCTTGAATTATCTTTGGTGATTTCTCTTTTTCTGCTGCATCCTGCATACTGGCCACTCTGAAACACAGAATGTTTGGGGACAATTATAAAACATGCACTTTTATATAATGTCGTTGTGTTTTTGAATTAATTTGTTTCATAAAAAAAATGGAAATTACATAATTTTGGCTCAAGTTTAAAAAAAAATATAAACATTTTTATCTGAACATGCTGCATATCCTGGAAAAATGTCTTGAAGCAGTGACTGACAAGCTATTCTGCCTCTTAACAACATTTAAAGGCCAACCTTCCACAACCCAATCGCCATTCCTACCCTCCACAAACCCATCGCCATCCCCACCTACCACCATCCCCATCTCCCACAAACCCCATCACCAACCCCACCTACCACCATCCCCACCCTCCACAACCCCATCACCAACCCCACCTACCACCATCCCCACCCTCCACAACCCCATCGCCATCACCATCCCCATCTCCCACAACCCCATCACCAACCCCACCTACCACCATCCCCACCCTCCACAACCCCATCGCCATCACCATCCCAAACCCCATCTCCCACAACCCCATCACCAACCCCACCTACCACCATCCCCACCCTCCACAACCCCATCGCCATCACCATCCCCATCTCCCACAAACCCATCACCAACCCCACCTACCACCATCCCCACCCTCCACAACCCCATCGCCATCACCATCCCAAACCCCATCTCCCACAACCCCATCACCAACCCCACCTACCACCATCCCCACCCTCCACAACCCCATCGCCATCACCATCCCCATCTCCCACAAACCCATCACCAACCCCACCTACCACCATCCCCACCCTCCACAACCCCATCACCAACCCCACCTACCACCATCCCCACCCTCCACAACCCCATCGCCATCACCATCCCCATCTCCCACAAACCCATCACCAACCCCACCTACCACCATCCCCACCCTCCACAACCCCATCACCAACCCCACCTACCACCATCCCCACCCTCCACAACCCCATCACCAACCCCACCTACCACCATCCCCACCCTCCACAACCCCATCACCAACCCCACCTACCACCATCCCCACCCTCCACAACCCCATCGCCATCCCCACCTACCACCATCCCCATCTCCCACAAACCCATCACCAACCCCACCTACCACCATCCCCACCCTCCACAACCCCATCACCAACCCCACCTACCACCATCCCCACCCTCCACAACCCCATCACCAACCCCACCTACCACCATCCCCACCCTCCACAACCCCATCACCAACCCCACCTACCACCATCCCCACCCTCCACAACCCCATCACCAACCCCACCTACCACCATCCCCACCCTCCACAACCCCATCACCAACCCCACCTACCACCATCCCCACCCTCCACAACCCCATCACCAACCCCACCTACCACCATCCCCACCCTCCACAACCCCATCACCATCCCCACCTACCACCATCCCCACCCTCCACAACCCCATCACCAACCCCACCTACCACCATCCCCACCCTCCACAACCCCATCACCATCCCCACCTACCACCATCCCCACCCTCCACAACCCCATCACCATCCCCACCTACCACCATCCCCACCCTCCACAACCCATCACCCTCCACAACCCCATCACCAACCCCACCTACCACCATCCCCACCCTCCACAACCCCATCACCAACCCCACCTACCACCATCCCCACCCTCCACAACCCCATCGCCATCACCATCCCCATCTCCCACAAACCCATCACCAACCCCACCTACCACCATCCCCACCCTCCACAACCCCATCACCAACCCCACCTACCACCATCCCCACCCTCCACAACCCATCACCCTCCACAACCCATCACCCTCCACAACCCATCACCCTCCACAACCCCATCACCAACCCCACCTACCACCATCCCCACCCTCCACAACCCCATCACCAACCCCACCTACCACCATCCCCACCCTCCACAACCCATCACCCTCCACAACCCATCACCCTCCACAACCCATCACCCTCCACAACCCATCACCCTCCACAACCCCATCACCAACCCCACCTACCACCATCCCCACCCTCCACAACCCCATCACCAACCCCACCTACCACCATCCCCACCCTCCACAACCCCATCACCATCCCCACCTACCACCATCCCCACCCTCCACAACCCCATCGCCATCCCCACCTACCACCATCCCCACCCTCCACAACCCATCACCATCCCCACCTACCACCATCCCCACCCTCCACAACCCATCACCATCCCCACCCTCCACAACCCCATCGCCATCCCCACCTACCACCATCCCCACCTACCACCATCCCCACCCTCCACAACCCCATCGCCATCCCCACCTACCACCATCCCCACCTACCACCATCCCCACCCTCCACAACCCCATCGCCATCCCCACCTACCACCATCCCCACCTACCACCATCCCCACCTACCACCATTCCTACCCTCCACAACCCATCACCCTCCACAACCCATCACCCTCCACAACCCATCACCCTCCACAACCCATCACCCTCCACAACCCCATCACCAACCCCACCTACCACCATCCCCACCCTCCACAACCCCATCACCATCCCCACCTACCACCATCCCCACCCTCCACCTCCAAGAATATTTAATGATTGATTGATCCTAAACTGAACCATTTTACCAAATATATGACCATAAGGGCTCAAACTCAGACCCCAGCATGATAAAAAGAGCACTAAGCACTGGACCACCACATAACATCCTGCACTTGTATTGAAGGTCGACCTCCCCTTCCATGTCCATTCCAAATGTCCGCATATAATAGGACCTGTCACTCACTTTCCCATTGTTCAAATTGATCACTCTGAAGCCTTTCAAGTTAATCTGTAGTCACGACATTATCTGCCAAAATGATGATATTACTGTCTCACCAAATTAGTAGCTTCCACAGATGATAATACTGTAATCGATGTTAGCGTGCCACTGGCATTATTAAGCAAAGGGGCTACTAATTTGGATGCAGTCTGCAATGCTAGACCCTCTGTTGTTGCCTCGCATGATCACATCGTTCAGTCCGGTGTCAGTCCTACCAAGCAACCTCAGTGCTGGGGCCGTTGTAAGTCCTATACGTTTAACTGATGTACAAACAAGATTGCTCACACATCCACCCACTCACTCACTCACTACCTCCCTCCCTCACCCACCCACCCACCCACTCACCCACTCACTCACTCACTCACTCACTCACTACTTCCCTCCCTCACCCACCCACCCACTCACTCACTCACTCACTCACTACTTCCCTCCCTCACCCACCCACCCACCCACTCACTCACTCACTCACTCACTCACTCACCGCTGTCTTCAAAGAAAAACACTTCACTCAATTTAAGTTTGATAATCTGTTCCTTTTGATCAAACACACAAGTGATTACTAATAAAACAATTAATCTTATCACATTGGGCCGAAGTGACACTTTCACACGAGACCCTATTAATCCAAGCGGTTGACCCTACTTTGACTGGGGAGCTTCGATCCTCCAGGCACCTCATACATGGAGATAATACATAACTCTTTTCTTCTATTTCAGGCGTGCTAGCCATCTATACATCATCTTTGTCCGAGGTTGTGGACAACTCCAATCACATGAATGTATTGACATACTAGATCTACACAGCCGAGGTGAGGGGACGGCAGTTATTGGCAGATGTACGCTGGTGGCTCGTAGGTTGCTAATTGTGTGATGATGAATGAGCCGGACGTCCCTGAGGAGGTAGATGGAGCTCGCTAAATGCAGACACTTTGGAAGCGGGTTTGCAATACAGTTACAGGACTCATGGAGGAAACGTCTGACTGCAGGTAGGCAATAATACTTATTATGTTCCTGCTTCCACTGTTTTACTGATGATATTCTGCCAGATATTAACGAATGGCATGGAGGAGTTTGATATTTTCAGGAACAATCTTGGAAATATAGCTTACTAGATCAATTGAAAGTACTTTAAATTAGCGGTTGTTATGATGATTTGATCAGTGAATATTTTGAATTTACATGGATTGATTCAAATGACATCTGACCGTGACTTTGGAACATACATATTTGTTATTGGCCAATCAGAGGTATCAAATCACAATAACAACCTCTTTTAAAACTGCTGATCTGACAGCTACAGCTATGTTGATCTCATTCATATTTCTTATTGGCCGATCAGAGGTATCAAATCACACCTCTGATTAAAACTGCTGATCTGAAAGCTACAGCTATGTTGATCTCATTCATATTTCTTATTGGCCGATCAGAGGTATCAAATCACACCTCTGATTAAAACTGCTGATCTGAAAGCTACAGCTATGTTGATCTCATTCATATTTCTTATTGGCCAATCAGAGGTATCAAATCACACCTCTGATTAAAACTGCTGATCTGACAGCTACAGCTATGTTGATCTCATTCATCTTTGTTATTGGCCGATCAGAGGTATCAAATCACACCTCTGATTAAAACTTCTGATCTGAAAGCTACAGCTATGTTGATCTCATTTATATTTGTTATTGGCCGATCAGGGGTATCAAATCACAATAACAACCTCTGATTTAAACTGCTGATTGAAAGCTACAGCAATGTTGATCTCATTCATAGTTCTTATTGGCCGATCAGAGGTATCAAATTACACCTCTGATTAAAACTGCTGATCTGACAGCTACAGCTATGTTGATCTCATTCATATTTCTTATTGGCCGATCAGAGGTATCAAATCACACCTCTGATTAAAACTGCTGATCTGAGAGCTACAGCTATGTTGATCTCATTCATATTTCTTATTGGCCGATCAGAGGTATCAAATTACACCTCTGATTAAAACTGCTGATCTGACAGCTACAGCTATGTTGATCTCATTCATATTTCTTATTGGCCGATCAGAGGCATCAAATCACACCTCTGATTAAAACTGCTGATCTGAGAGCTACAGCTATGTTGATCTCATTCATATTTCTTATTGGCCGATCAGAGGTATCAAATCACACCTCTGATTAAAACTGCTGATCTGAGAGCTACAGCTATGTTGATCTCATTCATATTTCTTATTGGCCGATCAGAGGTATCAAATCACAATAACAACCTCTGATTGAAACTGCTGATCTGACAGCTACAGCTATGTTGATCTCATTCATATTTCTTATTGGCCGATCAGAGGTATCAAATCACACCTCTGAATAAAACTGCTGATCTGAAAGCTACAGCAATGTTGATCCCATTCATATTTCTTATTGGCCGATCAGGGGTATCAAATCACAATAACAACCTCTGATTAAAACTGCTGATCTGAAAGCTACATCAATGTTGATCCCATTCATATTTCTTATTGGCTGATCAGAGGTATCAAATCACACCTCTGATTAAATCTGCTGATCTGAAAGCTACATCAATGTTGATCCCATTCATATTTGTTATTGGCCGATCAGAGGTATCAAATCACATTAACAACCTCTGATTAAAACTGCTGATCTGACATCTACAGCTATGTTGATCTCATTCATAAACCAGGTAATTTGTTAGGGACGTATCAGCTGATTACATGTTTTAACTTTCACATATCACAGCACTGACTACTTCACAGGTTTGATAGTCACCGACAGCAGCCTGATTTCATCACATTTGCACATTTCACAATACAACATCTTGTGATTACCTCACACATTTGAGGGCAGAGTTGCATGCCTTGAGCACACCAGGATCCTATGATCGTGGGTTTGAATCCTGCCATGATATCCTAATGTGTCCTGGACCTACCTATCATAGTTGCCCGTGAGGTAGTCGAAGATGACCATGGCGCCCCACTGGACGACGTCCGACAGTGCCTCAGCACTTAACTTCTTCTCTACAATGGTGTCGGAGTTGACGATGTCCCCGGCACGATACGCCTCCAGGATCGTTTGTGGCATCTGCACATGAGCTCTGCCGAACAGAGAATTGAGTCTTGTTGGAAAATAATACAGTACGTGTGAGAATACCTTTTATTTTTCCCAATTGTCAAAAAGAAAATGGTTGTTACCATGGTGAATGAAAATATTCCAAGGGTAGTAGGTTCTGTAACTACATATTAATGTTTTAATTAGGTTAAGCTACTGATTACTTGATTATGATATGAAAATAATAAGAAAACTAAGGAAAGAGCATTTGACATGTTATTTGAGCAGGGTGCATATTACATTTAAAACATTCCTTTACCTTGTGATATATCAAGTATCTGAGCTTCTTGTACTGTAGTGCAAGACTTGGGAGTAGATCTATGCAACTTAGCAACTTTTTAAATCTGCATATTATATAAGTGTGTGTGTGTGTGTGTTTCTGTGTGTGTCTGTGTGTGTCTGTGTGTGGCTGGTTGTACTGATGCTGATTTTATAGTACTAGCTCACTGAGATAGAATACTGCAGTTTAACATGAATACCCCACTCAGACACAGTATACTGACTCTGAGTGGACCAGTCCTTGTTTTAGCCCCTTAATGCCGAGCGCAAGACAGGGTTACAACAAGTACCATCTTTTAACATCTTTTGGTATGACGCTGCCGGCATATTTATTGACATCAATTCGGTTCAAGTTCGTCTTTGCAGAAATAAAAATAATTCTTTTTCCAAACTCTGGGTCAACACAAAACATGATTTGATTGTTGCTGCTCAGTGAAAAACACCAAAATGGTTATGTGATTATTAGGAACTATAAATCTTTTAACATTCATATAATATATTACATTTTTGCGGGAAAAAGTATGCATTGGTCGTCAGATTTATGTTCCTCCCATGTTGATTGGAACCTTCCCTGTAGTACACTCACCTGCGGGAATTCATATTGTCGATCCACTGAATGAGGGCCACATATTGGTTGTTGCCCCACCCCAGGGCTTCAGTGTCTTGACTCCGCCAGTGGATCGACGAGTCGTTGACCTGGGACAGCAGCACCGCTGGAACGTTGTCCATCCCCAACAACATCGACAGGTAGAAGGAGAGGACCTCACCTGTAGGAGGGAAGCAGGTTCGTTAGTATGCAGGTGTGACAGGTCACTCTAACCTAACTGCCATGCATTATGAAGTGGTATTACTCACCTAACACAAGTGTGTCATGGGGGTGGCGGTATCGGCACACATGGGTTAATAAGTCCAATTTGTAACCTAACTGCCATGCATCATGAAGTGGTATTACTCACCTAACACAAGTGTGTCGTGGGGGTGGCGGTATCGGGCACACATAGTTGTCCCATCCTCCATGACAACAAATCCATTCTTGGGACGTCCGCAGCGATCCCAAGACGGTTGCTGGAGACTCTTGACGTGAGTGACTCGCATCCTCCTGACCCAGCCAATCAGGCTGTAGTTGGACATGCCTGGAACATACAAGTCACATGACACAACTGCAATATAGTTCATACATGTATAATTTTTTAATTTGAAGTTTACATGATATACAGCTTTTCCATTGGACGAGAGGTTGGTCACATGACTGCGAAATAGACGTTCATAAGTGTATGAACGACACAATTTTGACGTTCATAATTTTTTCAAAGATTTTATTGTGATAAAGGATGACTAGAATACACTGTTTATTTGTCAAATTAACATGTACGTTTTCACTGAACCATGAAAAATGAAAAATCAAGAAATAAGAAAAAAAGTTTTTTTGTGTAATTGGTTGAAAGTAAGTCTGTTAAGAAAAAGATATGTATTAATATGGATTATAATATGTGTTGTCATCATTATGTCCATAATAATGAAGTAACTGTGTAATGGATTATCAAAGGACAAGCCTTTGTACTGTTCATGTTCTGTACCCAAATTGAGGTAAGTAGTCAGTGCGTCAAGGGAGACCACTCTTCCAAGCCTAGCAGCATGTGATGCAGCCCAGTAAAATGTCAGTGGCAGGACTGTGGGATACAGGGTCTTTACAATATGATTATTGAAATTATTCACATGAACCTGACTACACAGTTATTTAGTTGTGACAATATGTCAGTATATACAAAAGATGAACATTATTTGTCAAGGTCTGACCCTGTTTTGATTTACTATGAATTATAAAGAAACATTTTTTTAGACATTATCTGAGCTAAATACTTAATCAATATATCTACCTCTAGCTGTGACTTACAAGTAAATGAATTGTTAGTCTATCTTTCTCTAATCTCTAAACATTTGGTGTTTCAGACATAATGAAATGTATGGTTTCTGTTCTATTAAAAAAATATTTCAATATCAATTTATGAGCACCCAAACAAAGTGACGACAGTACAGTCTACCCTTGTTGTAACGTCACACTGGTTATATTGTCCAAGGTAGCCAGAACAGTCTACCCTTGTTGTAACGTCACACTGGTTATATTGTCCAAGGTAGCCAGAACAGTCTACCCTTGTTGTAATGCCACACTGGTTATATTGCCCAAGGTAGCCAGAACAGTCTACCCTTGTTGTAATGCCACACTGGTTATATTGCCCAAGGTAGCCAGAACGGATATCCCACCATTAAATTTCCCTGGATAAAATGCCAAACTGGTTATAATGCCACTGCCAACCATTCTCAGAACAAATGTTCGTATTCCCTGGTTATAATGTATTTGTTTAATACATTTGTTTTATACATACTGTAATGTATAAAAGAGTGTTATGACAGTCTTAAGAAATGCTCGTAAAATATATCTGGCTTGGACATATTTGCTAAACATGTGACCTTCTAATGAACCATATATCTTCATCCAGTTCTGGGGTCTTATAGTCCACGACTACTGATCAGGAGTTTGTGGGTTCGATTCCCGTAATTTCATTACTTGTTCCCGATTTTAGAACATTGGACATTTGAAACATTTGAAGTCTGAACTTTATCTGCTTCTCTACTCGTCATAGTGCAGTCTTACCACCCTCCATCCCGACATCAGCTCATCCTGATTAGTCCACAAAGGCCATATAACTACCTGAATTAACCCTACATTATATATAATGTGTTTGCACAGCTAGCATCACAGCCTTGCCAAACCCATCCCCATATTAGAAGCAGTAGCCTTGCTCCAAGGCTGTACTGAAAGAAAAGTCCATGGATATGTGGTAGTTCTATCCTCCTAATAGCAAGTCTAGATACGTGGACTCTGTTAGGGACATCTTGTTGTTATCATTTACATAATCTAGAACTTATGATTTAAACTTATAATTATTGCATAAGGGACTTGTGCAAGTCTACAGAAGCAGGTGCCCTCTGACTTGTCCATAGGCTGTGTGTTATGGTATCTAATGGAGGGCTCTGTAATGAAGACAAATGGGAAGTGATCACGGCCTGAGATAGGGGGACACATCTCATCCGGGGACGACCAGGAGGTGTTGAGTGTTATCATTTACTTCTGCGTAACTAAATGGGGATGTATTGAAACTCTGATCTATGTTGACACATACAGATGGCAGGATTAGATCTATGTTTAACAGGATAACAAGCCTGTAGTTGGTCCTGGTAATGTCTGTGTACCCACTCACCCACTCATTGTATGGGGAAATGGGACTCGACTCAAGTTTTGATAGGGATATGTTTTACTATGTCTTGATTGACCCCCGTAAGTATGTCAATACTCATAACATGTAGATGTAGTATGACGTATCTCAGTGTCCTTATCAAACGTTGAGTAGTATAATATTTATTGCACAAAGTAATCCATTACGGAACATTTCAAAATCTTAAATGACAAAACATGATGATTTATACATACATATGCAGACATATGTACATATAACCCTGTAAAAAAACACACACACACACACACACACACACACACACACACACACACACAGAAAATAACATTTAAAAATATCAGTATTACAGATTTGATGATATTACACATAAAATGTCATCGGTTGATTAAGATCAGCAGATACTAATGCTTGAAATTATAGACATGGAAACAAATGCAATTGATGTTAATGGCTTCATTATTTAAGAGGATGTAGTGAAATCATTTGTTTTCATGATTGTGGACATTTTCATTTTGTGTGGATAATTTTCCAAAGAGCCATTTTGTGAATCGGTGTTATGAACCCATGAGAAAATGTCTCAGCTAGAGCGATGACTCGCAGTTTGAATGCAGCATCGTAAGCCTGGCGTTTTCGTTTCAAACTCATGATGAGAATTTCGGTCAGTAAAAATATACCAACTTTTATACCCCTATGCAGTAACTCACCAAGTTGCTTCAATTGAACATGTGGAGCATAGCCTCTGATGTTGTGGGGTGGGTGGGTGGCTTTGTATGTTCTATACTTAATTTATGGTTACTGAATCTTAGTTTAGAAAGTGCGATCGGTATTTTCTTATTTTACAGTGACTGAGATAAGGTTCTAATTTTATTTCATTCTTAACAACTCTATATGTCCTGAGTTTGTTTCCTGTGCCTCTAGCTGCATTACCATCTGGAGAGTTTCCTTGAAGGGGTCAAATTTTGACTTTTTTGTCTCTTTGAAATTGTGTTTTCCTAAGAATAGATTGAGCTTGCATACCCATCCTGATCGTTTATTCACCAAATATGTACATTCAGCAAAAGCATTCTGAAATATTATATTTTTTGGTGATAGAAATTTGCTTTTTCTATTGGTACTGTGTGGATAAAAGGATCGAGTCCTAGTTCTGCTCCTAGCTTGCCCAGTTGTGTGTTGTTTAACAACACCTTACATGTATTTACAAAATCTGAGCTGCAGTTTCTCAGCGATAAATTTGATAAAATGGAATAAATATCTTCACAGACAAAACAGCAGCCATGAACACAAGGGGATTCTAGGTGATATATTGTGGATTCTATCAACTGAGGTACTTGAAAAAATATTTATTTACTTTTTTTTTGGTTAGAATGAATGAGTGGTACACAATTTTTAGACTAAAGTTTTGTCTCGGAATTAAGCAATGAAAACATACTTCTTTATGGATAACAACTTCTTGTTTATAGCAACATTTCGATGTAGATTCTTACACCGTTATCAAGGTTTGGTTTTAAACTATACCACTCAACTTTAGATGGGGATAATTATACTTGTCATCATGAGAATCAGCTTTTTGTCTCCTGGATAGATAAAACAAATATCCCTATCTGTAGTGAAGTAGTATATTTAAAGATTTGTCTTTATAAATTGCCTTTCAAATATAATTGAAAAGGCCCCAGAGAATCTCCATTCATTTTCAGGAATCTAGATTTGCCAAAGCAGTGTAGAGTTTTTTATATATTTCTGTTTCAAGTTCTGTATGAGAGACCAACCACTCAGCACATTAGGTAAATGAATCCTGAAACTGTTCAAGTGAAAGTAGGTATTTTCAAACACTATAGGGCATAAAAATGTCAAGCTATCATCTTGGATAAAGCTTCATGATAGTATCAGGGACTCAAGTGCTGATGTTCTCTAACACACACTTGTTCTATTAATCACTTCTAAAGCAACAAACTCTTCTCAGATGGCTTCAAAAAGGTTTCAATCACCATTATGCAACATATTAAAAAAGAAGTTAATTGAAAAAGTATTCCTGGTATTCACTCATTTTATCTTTAAAAATTTCAGTTATGGCTTGCACATGGGTAAAACATGTCGGCCCATAACGATTCAGTGCATCCCACATGTTGTATATCACAGGGGAGGGATGGGAGGTAGTGATGTAGGGTGTAGGGTAGTGATGGAGGCTGAAGGGTAGTGATGGAGGCTGTAGGGTAGTGATGTAGGCTGTAGGGTAGTGATGGAGGCTGAAGGGTAGTGATGGAGGCTGTAGGGTAGTGATGTAGGCTGTAGGGTAGTGATGGAGGCTGAAGGGTAGTGATGGAGGCTGTAGGGTAGTGATGTAGGCTGTAGGGTAGTGATGGAGGCTGAAGGGTAGTGATGGAGGCTGTAGGGTAGTGATGTAGGCTGTAGGGTAGTGATGGAGGCTGAAGGGTAGTGATGGAGGCTGTAGGGTAGTGATGTAGGCTGTAGGGTAGTGATGTAGGGTGTAGGGTAGTGATGTAGGATGTATGGTTGTGATGTAGGATGTATGGTAGTGGTGTAGGGTTGTGATGTAGGATGTAGGGTAGTGATGTAGGATGTAGGGTAGTGATGTAGGGTGTGGGGTAGTGATGTAGGATATAGGGTAGTGATGTAGGGTGTAGGGTAGTGATGTAGGATGCAGGGTAGTGATGTAGGGTGTAGGGTAGTGATGTAGGATGTATGGTTGTGATGTAGGATGTATGGTAGTGGTGTAGGGTTGTGATGTAGGATGTAGGGTAGTGATGTAGGATGTAGGGTAGTGATGTAGGATGTATGGTAGTGATGTAGGGTGTAGGGTAGTGATGTAGGATGTATGGTAGTGATGTAGGCTGTATGGTAGTGATGTAGGCTCTAGGGTA